ATTTTGTTCCCTTGTATTAATAAAATATATAATATATATCATATATATATATAACAAATTTACCAGTGAAATCCATGTCCCGTCAGGCGAAGAGAGGACGTGACTACTGTGATTTTCGACTTGTCTTTCTTGTCAAGTTATTGCAACCCACACACACACACACACCACAACACACACAACACACACACACACACACACACACACACATACCACACACACACACACACACACACACACAACACAACACACACACCACACACACCAGCGACACACACACGACACCAAATTATCAACAGTGCTTAATATCACGTCATGAGACATCAATACTCGAACCTTACCGTAAAGTCAAGAATTTAGAAGACCTGGTACTAGGACGGTCGTCGTCGTAGGTACCACAGAGGCGGTGAGGCCAGGGCTATTATTTGTGTTTTAGCATATGCATTTATTTTTTATTCTTTTTAAGGGACCCTGGAAATATATTACTTAAAGCTACATATCTTTTTCAGATTTCTAATTCTGTAGTTGTTATAATCTAATGTATATTTTACTTCACAGGAGACTCTGGTTTCCCTGGAATTCCAGGTGAGGAATGATGGCTAACTTTTCATTGAGTCTTTACCAGTGTTTTATATTTACTTTACTTTACTGACTATGACCTTTGACCTCAGGTGCTCCGGGCTCCATGGGACATGCAGGCCCTGAGGGTCAGAAAGGACAGAAAGGAGGTCAAGGTACAGAGAGCGCTTCAGCTCAAACAACATGATGCAAGTATGTTCTTTAGCTTAATAACAGTGAGACATTTTATCTGTAAATTGTCTGGTCAGGTGATCATGGGCTGGATGGGGCACCTGGCGTCAGGGGTCGCGAGGGCCAGTCGGGCCCCAGAGGTGATACAGGACCTGCAGGCTTTGGAGCGAAAGGTGAAAGAGGTAGGGCTCAGATTCCCAGCAGACAAATAACTTTAGTTTTTATAATACAGTAATAACAGCCAGTTTATCTTGAATGTGTCACGTCAGGATGTCTTGTTCTGTTGCAGGTTCTCCCGGGGAACCTGGGTCTGTCGGTCCTAAAGGTGAGATTATTGAATATTACTCAATGTTCCTTAGAAAAAAACATGTTTGTGTTTTGACATCAGAATACTATTGGTTTTATGTGCTGACACAAGGTACATCTGTAACAGTATGCACTGTGACAACCACCAGGTGGCAGCGTAGAGTCAGTCTGTGAATAAAGACTACAGTATCATTCACTGAAAGCAACAAGATATTCCTTCAGGTTGATATATAATATATATACAGTTGTTAAGATTACAAAAATCCCAGCCATTTTTTGTGAACGATGAATTCAAACTTATATTGAGTTTCTGCTACTTATACTGCTTGGAAAACAACAAATCACAACATTTTTAAGGCATAACAAATATTAAAATACACTACACTCACACACTTAAATGACAACACCACATTGTTTCAATAGCACACATCTTTTGCAGCAAAAACATTATGTGTCCACCTCGTGGGTTTAACTCTCAACGTTTTCCTAAACTAGATTTTATTCTGCCGATCCATTTTTTCAGTTTTTAATAGGAAAAGTAACTAACTCAGACACATTGAAATCTTATCCTTCCCAGATTTACACTAATGTCTGTGTCAATCCTTAATTCAATTGTAATTTTTACTCCTTAATTATTACATTTTCCAAATGCTATTATAATGTTGTTGTTTACCAATGTTTTTACTTTCTAATAATTTTAAATCTATTTCCAAGGCTCAAGTGGAATTCCTGGTCTTCTTGGAGCACCAGGTCAGTTTTCCCTGTTATTCATTGATTACAACCACTCCAGAAATACCAGCTGAGCTGTATATTATCTAAAATGTGTGATAATATTTTTAACAGTGCCTTATCTTAATTCCCGGCGTTTAAATTCGATTTCTTTTTTATATAGGTCAACCAGGTTCTCAGGGTTTCCGTGGCGAGACAGGACCACATGGGCCTAAAGGTCGGTCACACTGAAATACTTAGTTAATTTATTTCATTTATTATAATGTTACTCACAGTCACACTTCTCACTCTGCAGGAGATAGAGGGCTTGCTGGATTCCAGGGACTTAAAGGTTTGTTGTAACCACATCAGGCTTTTATATGACTATTGAGGTCAGATAATCTTTCTAACCGCAGTTTATTAATGTGAATTGTAGGTGACACTGGTGATACAGGCGCCAGAGGTGTGAAAGGTCAGTACAGCATACCATATTGGAAGTCTTTATTGTTGTTTAGGCTGTGCTGTTTCCTAATCCAGTCGTCCCGTTCCTCAGGTGATGGTGGTATACCGGGTCTGCAGGGGCTGGCTGGTGAGAAAGGATCAACGGGTGAGTTACAGACCTCCGGCCTTAGATAATTATTAAAAATATGTAATGTAGGTAATTAGTGGTTTTATAAGGCACGTTCACACCAAGTACTTTTCCCACAAAGGTTCATCAGAACTCTTTAGTTCTGATGAACTAAGTACAGATCGCGTTCACACAGGAAATTAGTTCCCGGGGGTGGATTAGGCAAATGAAGCCGCTGACGTCACTTCTTCTTCTTCTGCTTTGGGTTTACTGGCAGGCCGCAAACAACTTCACGGCGTATACTGCCACCCGGAGTCCCCGGCCGGAAGTCCCCGGAGTTGGGGAAGGCTTCAGTAGAAGCTGAAGCCTTCAGAGTAAATCTATAGTATGCTGACACCTCCTCATCTCCACCACTCCCATGTTTTATGTTGTGTTGCCATAAGTTAGTCTCTCTGCATGTGTGCGCTGGGCTAATGCTAATAATGCTAATGCGAGGATAATAAAATGGCGGCTTCACAAAAGTTTTTGGGAGTTTGACGGGGCGTGGTTTGCATTACGCCCAGCCAATCAGACACAGGAACCTTTTTCTCCCACGAAAGTCCCTGCTCTCTAGCAGGGACTGAAAAGGGGGTAAAAAAGGTTCTCTAGAACTAATTTAGTTCCTGGGACCTTTTGGTGTGAACGCAACTAAATCGTAGTTCTCAGGAACCTTTTTGGTGTGAACGCGCCTATAGAGGGCTATGTTTGTGTGTTTCTTGGCTGGAATAAGTTACTTCCTAAAGTCTCTGCAGGTTGCAGGCCACCGTTTTTCACTTGTTCTCAATGACTTGCCTGAGTAAATAAAGGTTACATAAAATGTTTCCTTGCGAAACCCCTCAAATTGTTATCATTTATTTGAGTGTGACTTGAATATGAATTATGGTATTCATGAGTCTGATCATAACAAAATCAAATATCATACTAACAATGTATTGTATATATTGAGATTTAACATTTGTTCAATGATATAGCATATTTATCTTTATCATTTTATAGAGCATGATATTAATAATGTAATGCAAACACCTTACAAAGGTGAGGCGGTAACAAGAGTATTTAAAACATCCTCCACCAGGAGGCAGCAGAGAGGTGTTTTCTGAAAAAGTTCAGATCAATTAAAACTTTTTTTTCAACCAGAGTAAAACGTATGTGCAGCAGATGCAATACAGAGTGAGAAGAGTGCAAATATATAGAATCTAATCTTAAAAGCATATTGTAAAAATACATAAAAGAAAGCTTATTTTAGTGTTCATTAAATACATGACATACACCTTTGATACTGGCTTTAAATCAACAGTATGTTTTCAGAGCAGCTTATGAATTTACATTCCATTAAACAATTGTTTTGCTTTTTATGTTGGCTGGAGCTGATGGATCAAGAGATACAAAAAAAGTCAATAAATACACATGACATGTACAACTGTTCAAAGTATTGTTACATAATATTGGTACACAACTAAACCATGTTGAGCTGAAACAAGACTTTTCTTTCACTTCTTGAACATTTTGTATTACACAAACATTGTTTTCAGTACCTTCAAATCCTTAAATCATCTCTAATTATATTTTTTACTTTGGCCCTCAGGTGGCCAAGGGCCTACAGGTATTCCTGGACTCAGGGGTCCTGCTGGGCCTCCTGGAGATACTGCACATTCAGGTAAACTCACCCTGATGCCTCAATAATGGAACTGGATCTTCAACTTTACCAACTTTTATAATAAGTGGATAATATAATATAATATATTGATCATATCTCCCCCTCTGTAGGACAACCTGGGCTTCAAGGACCACCAGGTATGATGATTAATTATGTGGTATTTTATCATAAATTATCTTTTCTTTTAATGCTCTAAACATAAAAACTGTAATTACGTCATGCTTTTAGGGATACCAGGGAACCCAGGGAGTCCCGGCGCTAAAGGTACATCTACAGTTTCCTTTAGGATGATCTGCAGAAAGTGCACGTTCTGTGAAATACCACATGCTTTCTGCTATTAATGAATCTGTACCATGTGTCTCTCTGTTTCAGGGGAAACAGGGGACGCTGGAAGAATCATCAACGCAGGTAACATAGCATGATAACTCTTATATTTCAACATATTATTATTGACAGGCTTACAGTTTGATGATTTCTAGTGTAGGGTAGTGGTGGTCTAATGGATAAGTGAGGTGGGATGAAGATTGGAAGGTTGTGAGTTCAAATCCCGCCTGGAACACCACTAGTGTGCCCTTGAGTAAGGCGCTTAGCCCTTAGTTACTCCAGGGAGAATGTCCCTGTAATTGGTAATTGTAAATTCCTTTGGATAAAAGCGTCAGCTAAATGAAATGTAATTTAATATCTGATGTATATTTGATTTGTTTTCCAGCTGGATCCACTTCTTTCGGCCTCCCAGGTCCCCCCGGCCCTGCTGGACGTCCAGGATCATCAGGTCTGAGTCTTTACAGCATCTAATCCCTGAAAGATCATACAATGTCAGTAGTAACAATATTTATACAGATATTTTGTGTTTTCCTCCTCAGGTCCAATTGGCCCTGCTGGTCTGCCTGGCCAACCTGGTAGGTCTTTTTGCTTTTTGCTGCTAAAGGAAGAGTTTTTTTTAAATTGGTTTAATATGTAGTCTGATATGTAGAGTCTAATAGATTCTGTGTTGTGTTTGTTTTCATAGGTGCTAAAGGTGACAGAGGATTTAGGGGCGAGCAGGGAGAACAAGGAATAACAGCCAGAACATCTGAAACCTTGAGCTCAAGTGAGTACTTTTTAAAAATGGTTTTCTAGAAGATGAATAATGTTTACAGGTATAGTGTTGCATTATCTGCTGATGCACACATCAATTGAAAATTATGTAATCTTCCGTCTCATAGAAAAATAACTAACACAATAACCATCTTTCAAATGGAACATTTCAATCATGAGAAATAAAATCCTTTATATTTTCTTAATTGCAATCATTTGATTTGTAAAGTCACATTTATGAATTTGTTCTCTGACTTTAACCTTTATATAAATGCAGTGGGTTAGAGGTATAGTGTAGCATAATAACAACACAATCTAATAAAGTAAAAACACTTCAAAAAAGTACAGTAAATACACCTCTGTAATTCTACCACTTGTATTTGCTAATGGTGGTTTTTATTTTTTCTTCCTGTATTTGCATCTTGTTGCCACTGGTTGGCGTTGTTCTGCAAAAGTTAGATAGTCATTTGTATACAGACTGGAATACCACTAATTTCTTAAAACTGTGTTTCTGTGTCTGTTTCAGGGCATGTTAGCAGCAGTGGAGGATCAGCAACATCTGGCCCCCCCGGCCCACCCGGTCCACCTGGACGTGCAGGTAAATAAAACATGACATGCTCTTTTGCAGCATTATCTTAGACATCATCCTCAATAATTTCATAGGATCTGTTCAACGGCATCTGAGAAAGACCGCAGACTTCTTGTGATATTCTTCAAATTGTGTCACTGACTGTTTGAAAAATATCTTCATCAGGAGATTCAAGACCAGGACCTCCCGGGCCTCCAGGTCCAACAGGCAAGTATTTCAACTCAATAAATCCACTGTACAAATATGTATTCAGTATGTTTGGTATTATGTGAAGCTCATCCATTCTTTATATCAGCTTAACTTATAACATCATCATTAACTTAACTTATAACATCATATTTTAGGTTATGGAAGACCAGGGCCTAAAGGAGACAGAGGGGAACCCGGCTTTTCATCCGGCTCAGGTAAGATCCAAAATCGAACCTTGTGCTCCGTCTTGATGTTGGTTTGAGACATATTGAGCAGCAACAGAAAACATTTCTAAACTTTTTTTTTTACAGGAACGTTTAATACTGGACTGCCAGGACCACCTGGGGCTGTCGGGCCAAGAGGATCATCAGGTGAGCAGATTGTGTGAAGACATCTTGTTTCATTGAAAGAACTCTGCCATTCTTTTTTTGATGTAATAATACATTATTATAACATCTCTTTCATTATTTTAGGTTCTCCTGGACCAAGAGGATACCAAGGTAATTGTTGTTCTTTTATTTGTGTGTATCTTTAGAAAATACGTATTTTTTTACCAATTGATTTTTTACATAACAATACAACTGATCGTGTGCCTTCCTACTCCTTTCATAAATAACTGTGACATCATCATGTGCGCCGTAGGTGAAGCAGGGCAGACAGGTGTGCCGGGAACCCCAGGGAGATCAGGGAGCTCTGAGAGAGGTGCACACGCACACACACGCACACACACACACACACACACACACACACACACACACACACACACACACACACACACACACAAGATTTTATTTTTCTTGATGTACACTAAATGTTTATTTATTTCTTCCTAACAGTATCCTCTTATGGTGGAGGACTCGGGACCCCTGGACCTCCAGGTCCGCCAGGACTTCCTGGAATACAGGGAATCAAAGGTACTACTAACACATCTAAATCTGTGGGAGCAGACAATGTTTTAATGTCTGTATTTCAGAGTACTTATTGTGAAGCATGACGTTAATGCTGCTGTCTGTCATTTCTAAGGGAACACTGGAGCTCCTGGTAGTCCTGGCTCTTCGAGAGGTAGAGAACAGTTTACAATAATACACACGTTCATATGTTTGTATCTTGTTAACAGGTGTTTTACATTCATTTTCTGTATATTTAGCACCAAATCATTGATCTTTTTAGTAAGGTCCTGTGTAATAAGTAAGATACTAAGTGCAATTAGCCGGACAGCGCTCCTTACATTTTCTTCAATGTCTTTACCATCTCACTTTTCCTCAGGCTCCATCTCAGTCACCTCAGGCCCCCCCGGCCCTGCAGGTCCTCCCGGCCCTACAGGTCAGACAGGCTCCTTCTCTTCTTCTACTGAGATGCGGCAGTACATCTCTGAATATCTGAGTAAGGGCTCTTTCAAGCAAAGTCACACTCCCACATACACACGGAACCCACACGGGACAGAACTGAGTATGAACATGTTTTATTTGCTCCTTGCAGGTAGAAGCACACAGTCGGCTGTCCGCGGGCTCCCGGGCCCCCCTGGGCCTCCAGGAACCCCTGGATCCTTCTCAGGCTCGATCGAGGACATCTCCACTCGTATGATCGCATACATGCAACGTAAGTCTGCCCCTCCCCAGATGATATATCACTAAATGATAGTGTGAGGTAATGTGTACTGTATGGGACACAATTAAAGCGGAATGGGAGTTACCTTTAGCTGTTTCATTTCAGGTTCGGGCTCAGGGCTCAGCATCGGGGTTCAGGGTCCTCCGGGACCACCCGGCCCCCCTGGATACGGCTCTGGTTCCCTGACAGTCAGTGGGCTCATCTCCATGCTTCAGAGTGAGTACGATACACATTATGGCTGAGCCCAATGGTGTCAAAAACACAGTGGTGGGAAGAAGTACTCTGATATGAGATATAATGGAGTATAAAGTAGCGTCAAATAGAAATACGCGAGTAAAGTACTGCAAAGTTGTACAGTATATTGGCACAGCCCTTAAATAAATGCATTTCACCACTTCAGACATGCAAATGATCAACGCTACACCCCACTGTATGTGAACTGATCAACATAATAACAAAGCTTTATTTGTATAGTAGTTTTCATACATCACGTGCAGCTCAAAGTGCACACATCATAAGTTAAAAATAAACACCAAGAAATTCCCCTCAGATCAGATGTTAAAACCTTTACAGATACATTTAGCAAAACATAACATTTTAACAGGTTAAGAGACACAAGGAGGTAAAAGGTATGATATAAAAAAAAAAAATACAATCAAATAAATAATGATTTCTCTCGGAAAGATAAGACACAAGAAATGTGAATAGATAAAACAATATAAAACCCTGTAAAATAAAGTGAACATATAGGCACAACAGAAATAATTTAAAAAAAAATAGTGATAAAAACATAATTCTAATAAATATTTAACGATTAAAACATATTTTTTACAACAACGTCAAAATAAATGTTGCTATTGAAACTGTTAAATAAATAATATAACATGATCTCATTGAACCTGAAAAAAAAGAGGAAGCTCTGGGCCTAAACTTTGTCTCTCTGCTGTGATCTGTGTAGGAGAGGATGTGAGGAGATACCTGTCCGGACCACCAGGCCCACAAGGCCCCCCGGGTCAACCAGGGACATCAGGAGGAGCAGGAGGATTTTCAGGCAGTTTCTCTGTGGAGGAGATAGCCACATACGTCTTCAAGATCATGAATGGTAAGCACAGGTTGCACTAGAGAAATCAATAGCGATGCCTGGACTTCACAATCCATTGAATTTCTTTTATGGTACTTTTTCAGACAGAGGGATTGCGAGAGGTCCGCCCGGGCCGCCCGGTCCTGCTGGGTCGTCTGTTGCTGTGGGCTCGAGCTTCTCTCAGGCTACGATTGACTATTCTGCTCTAGTGAAAAGTAAGTTGTGTTTCCCTCATGACAGAAACCCTCTTGTTGTTGAACAGTGAAAAGTTATCAGAATCAAAAACAGGTTTATTACCAGGAAGGTTGACACGTACGAGGAATTTGATTTGGTATTGTGGTGCATACGTAAAAGTAAAACAAACATTTAAAACAGAGATAGAAAACTAATTTTAGAACACTATAATAACATTACAAAAATATAAAATAATACAGTAAAATATAGCAGTATTTACTTGGTAATAGAATCGGAATAAAATATGTGCAGTAATAAAAAACAAGATGTTGCGTACATTGTGTGCATTAAAGGGGACCTATCATGCAAATGCATTTTTTGATGTCTTTTATACATAAATATGTGTCCCCGGTGTGTCAGGGAACTCACAAAGTGTCAGAAAACAAAACCCTCTCTCTTTTCCTCCGTACCCAAATCTCTAAAAACGGGGGTACAACGGAGCTGATCCAGATTTGCGTCCGATATTATGTAATATCGGAAATGTTGACCCACAGCACTATCAGAAACGGCGCTTTTAGAAACAATGCCCGACTGTTTTGGACGTAATATGGTCTTTGTTTACATTAGCAAGCATCGCTAACACGATGAGTATGTGTAAAAAAGCAGGAAATAAAAAAAGTAAGTCACCTTGTGGTAAACCCCCAGGAGAAAAAGCATTTGAGCTCCAAACTGTTTCAGAAATAATCCTTGATGTGGTTTGGAACATGATCAGTTTGTGTCCAGAGTGGGAGGGGTCATCATCCTTACCCTCATCTTTCTTGTATCTTCTTAGATTCAGACTTCCGCTCTTGGGTTGCCTCTGCCGTACAACAAGGTATTTCTGGTCCCCCGGGCACCCCAGGACAGCCTGGCCCTCCTGGCGCTCAGGGGCCGCCGGGGGTCTCCACCGCCACCGTGTACGGGGCCGGGACTGGGGGGAGTGGCTACAGCCTGGAGGACATTCAGCGTTACCTGCAGGGTGAGTATTACAGAGAGCTAGAAACATAATGTATACTGAGGAAGGCAACAGGTTATGGCTTAGATTCACATCGCAAAGTAGTTAACAGTAATGTTACATTTTACAACAAAGAAGGTGGAATATTGTCCATTCTACCGTTACCTTTCTGTGCAGCTACAGAAAGACAATAACGGTGATTTGAATCTTTCCCAGGTTCTGGTTTCAGAGGTCTCCCCGGGCCTCCTGGTCCACAGGGACCAGCGGGACCATCAAGCGGTCACTCCGGATCGGTTTCCTACAGTGGAAACTTCCCTCGGGAGAGCATCCGCGCTGAAGTCCAGGAGTATCTGACCAGTAAGCTCCTAACGACCAACAAGATCAAAGACATGTGAGCACAGATCCGTTCGTGTATAACAGACTAACTTTATCTTTCAGGTGACAATGTTCGTCGTGCCATCATCGGACCTCCGGGGCCTCAGGGGCCGATGGGACCGAGGGGAGAGCGAGGAGAGTCAGGCTACGTCCTGAGCCGCACGCAGAGCCATATCCAGAGCCAGAGCCAGGGCCAGGGCCAGGGCCAGGGCCAGGGCCAGGGCCAGGGCCAGGGCCAGGGCCAGGGCCAGGGCCAGAGCTATAGTCAGGGCCAGGGCCAGGGCTATAGTCAGGGCCAGGGCCAGGGCTATAGTCAGGGCCAGGGCGAGAGTCAGGGCCAGGGTCAGGGCCAGGGCTATAGCCAGAGCCTGAACTACGCTCAGGGTGACTCTCGAACCGGCACTGAGTACAGAAACATCGATCTCAGCAACCTGGACTACTCCAGCGTCGCCATCCACGTTTCAGACCTCATCAAGAGTGAGTCCATCACAGCTTCAGCATACAGATGTATTTTATATAGGGCAGCAATCTGACACTATACCCACCAACCTAAATGCATTAAAATGAAATAACCATTTTATTCTTTCATTTTCAGTGCAACAAAATGGACAGATGAACTTATCATAATAGAAATAATAGAGAAGAACATCTGATTAATTCTCAATCTGCATTATTAGATTACTACTGCTAACTTGCTCTAACTACAGTTCCCATAATGCTTTGGGGATGTTGTGTGAACATCCCTTGGTCCATAGCAAACAGGAAATTCTAAGAGCTAATTCGGCATACTTCTAATAGTGCCAGGTTTAAAAATGTAAACAAATACCGGCTAGAAAACAGGGCTCAAGTTGTAACCCCCAGTTCTCAATTTTGTCTAACGGGGTTCCCACAGTTTCAGACCAATGAGTACTTCTTCTTCTACTTCTTCTTAAGTAAAGCATCTGAATGCATGTTCCTCCTCATGCTGAAACTGATGAAATGTTGATGATAACAACCCTTTTTTAGGTAAAGGTCTGCTGCAGGAGTATCTGGTTGAGGGTCCTTGGAGGGCGCATGTTCGAGCGATTCAAGGCCCTCCTGGTCCTGCTGGCCCCTCCGGACCACCGGGCCAGAGCCGCGTCATCGGGGCCTACGGCAACGTCACAGCGGACCTCATGCAGTTCTTCAGAAGTGAGTACACAGAGATATGATTTTCTACAAACTGAAGCTTTCCAGTCGGACAGATAGAGCCTGAATGTCTTCACTGTCATGTCACCCAGGCAAAAAGTTATAGTATCATTACTCAGAGTTAAACCTCACAGCATTGATGGACTCATATTAATTATTTTGGATTTTTTGGAATGTATGAGGTGCTAAAGTGCGTAAAACACATATACATATACCTGCAAAAGTGAAGTATCCCTGCCTTTCAGTATTTGGAAACCTTATGTGCGTTTAGTTTGAAAATGTGGCTTCATCACGACTGAATCTGTGTTTTGTTCTTGCGCAGCCTATGGCACCATCGCAGGCCCTCCAGGAGAGAATGGACTGAGGGGTGAGAGGGGGCATCCAGGACCCAGGGGAGAGAGAGGTACGTTGAAACAAAGCCGATGAATCGCTACATCTTTTCAAAATAAATCTTTTTTAGAGGAGTGACTTAGATGAGCAAAGTCTGAGAGTTTTGGTATGTTTTCAGGTGATCCTGGGCGCCCAGGTCTATCAGGACTACCAGGGGCATACACTGTCCAAGTTCCACACAGGGTGCAGAAGAGGGATGCAGGTAACTTTGGTTGAATCTTGTTAAATCACTTCAAAATCAAGCGCTACATACATGTAACTGCATATTTCAATCCACTGCAGGCGAGGAATTGGTTGCTCGTCGTCGTCAGAAGCTTCGCCGTCACGCAGGCAGCAGTTAAACACATTACTGGATCACATTTCATTTTGACTCATCTTTTATTTTAGGTGTTCAACTGTTGCAATGCAAGTAGTCAAATAGCTCTTTATTATTGCCATCTGTAGAAACGTCACAGGACAATTTGAGGAAATAAAATGATGCATTAAGTTTTTTTAAAACCAGCTTTAGTAGAGGTTTGGGTTTTAGCTGCTGGTCAGTGTCTTTGTTACACAGACTTCTTTACATCCGGGTGTATAATGTTTACTTTGCTTGGTTAGAAGCTTGCTAACTTTTTTTTCCCAGGGACAATTTCTATTTTTAAGCAATAAGTATCTGATATTATTTCCAACTGCTCGTGTAACTTTCGTGTCTATTGATTGGTGTATTTGATTTAGTTTTCATTGAGGATTATATTGTTTTGAGAACTATGCAAGTGTTAAATGTTGTGTCAAGGTAACCCTTCAATGTTTTATAAGATACTACAATATAGTCAGATTATTTACATAAATCAAGCTAGCATCCATCCTGACCCTTGGAAGTTATTCACTCATCCCATACAAATAAACAAGAATATCATTAACCCTTTTTTTTCTATAAATATATATAAAAACATGCAACATTACCAGTCAGCGAGGGTCATTTTTGCAGCAGATAAGGGACTTATGTTACAGTAAATGTTGCTGTAGTTACGACTGACGATTTACTTGAAAGATTTGTTAGTTCAAAATTAAGAAGAAGAATAAATGACATTGTTTGTGTGGTTGAAAGTCTGAAAATCACAACAAAATGATGGATTGGATTGTATATTTTTGTATAAGAGAGCACTGAAATCGATATATTTGCTTTATACCGTAAAGTGTTGGAGAGATTAAATTATAAAATGTTCCCAGATTATGTTTGACATCATTGCACTTTTTGACTTTTGATCAATATATATATAAAAGACACACAATAAATGTATTTTTCGACTTGGGAGTGTTGATATTTTTATGAATTAATTCAAAAATAATTGCATTTGAGGTGTTATGTCAGGCTGTCGTGTGTCAAGTTAACAGTCAATATCAAATTTACAACAAAACACAAAACAACTCCTACTTGTGCAGTGAGGTTATACAATGCTACATTATTTTTATATAATGACGCCAAATGAGTTTTCAATAAAAAAAATGCTGGATTTCAGGTGTGTTCTATTTAGCCAGTGTAGTAATTCAATGCTGCATTGATTTGGAATCACTCTGTTCACACGACATGGAAGATATTGAAAAGAAAATAGGACTTTTTAATAAAAAAAAACAGCTTAATTATGTCATAGTATAGTATGTCATCAAATGTAATTAAGATGTTACAATATACTTTGTCACAAAAAGTGATAAAGAAAGTAAAAGAAAAGACAAAAAAGTCACAAAGAAATGTGAAAAGTCCTAAAAAGACAAAATATAGTTTGTCACAAAAGTCTTAAACTAACACTAGACGAACAAACCCCCCAAAATGGCTTTAGTTTTCGAGATACCTGTACCTGAGGTTTTTTTAAATAATATATCTAGTCTATGAAATGGATGGTTGAATACAAATATTTTACTTCAAAAAAAAATGTTGTTGCTTTTTTGGATGTTTGGAACTTTCCCATAACCGAAAATAGTGAAAATGTAGGCTCCTCTGAAGGGGGCCGTGTTGGCCTTATCCCATGTTTCTCTGGAAAGAATGATCAGAATGTCACCCTTTAGGATTAGATGTTCACAGAGAGGCAAAACATACAATAAAGCAAAGATTATATCAATATCGTTTACCATCTTTGTAATATTTACACTTTTAGGGGCCTTACTAAGTGTTTTACAAGTGTTTAAGTGTTTGAAAGGTTCAATTATAAGAAGGTAGACGGGTCAACTTTCAAATCAACAGTCAATATTTTATTTACAGCAATAAAATGTCAATTTATAAAGACACTTTAAATACATTTGATCCGACATGAAAATGATATCAATGTTGTAGAATGACAAGAAATGCTGTAACTTAACAAAATAAAAAAATATTTTAAATCTATGGGGAATGTGACTCTCCGGACGGTTTCCATGTACCCCGATAAAAACCCAGCATTCATGACGCAACCTTTTGTTAATGTCAGCATACAGAAAACATGACGTGCATTGATGATACGCACAGACAAAATAAAAGAATCATGACATTTCTTTTTGTGAACCGTTAATACTTTTGCTCCTAGAATACAGCGAAGGACGTCTCAAACAGCTACAGGTACAGCATTTCACCTTTCAGACAGCACTGGTGTCAAAAAGAGCAAACAGCTCAGAGGAAAGAGCGATTACAGCGTCATATAACGGGAATACATGTAGAAAAGTAGATGTGGTCGTAAAATACTAAAGGGCATATTTGGAAAAGGAAAAAAACAGCTAAATGATCAGAAAGAAATCAACACTTCTCAGTTAGTTTGGAGTTTGAATTGGGTTGTGTGAGACAAAGGTGACGCGCTGTCACAAACCCATTGACAGTTTTATTACTGCATATCTTTTTCATTAGCTTATAACAAAACAGTGCAAATCAACAGCTTTACATTCCTTCATTTTCATTCACGGTGATTTCCTTTCTATATATTATTTCTATATATAAAAAAGTATTTTATCATTCTCCAGGAAGAAACGGGTCACCTCTGCGTCTAACTAAGTGGGATTACAGCAATGAAATGATGTGTGAACGAAAAAGCCATATTCTTGTTCTTAAGATTGTAAAAACCCTCATGGCAAGCACAGTATCTGATTGAGCTTCATATCTAGGTACACACACGTAACATTTCAGCATTTACAACACAGTACGTCCTTAACATCCCAACACAGCACTGTTTTTGACGTGACACTACACGTGCCATAACAAAGTCATACGACAACACACTTTTTCTTTTTACTCTTTTAAACCAGCTCTACCTCACATGCAGCAACACGAGATGTCAGAGTCTTAATCACCCGTTATATGAAATGATTCAAATAATCTCTAAACATCTTGTGATTATGAGTGGAAATGATAACCAATTTTTTAAAGGGGACCTATCATGCAAAATGCACTTTTGTACGTCTTCTATACATGAATATGTGTCCCCGGTGTTCCAGGGAACTCACCAAGTGTCAGAAAACACAACCCTCTCTATTTTCCTCCATACCCAAATCTCTTAAAAAGGGGCTGCAACGGATCTGATACAGGCTGATCCAGATTTGAACACTTTTACGTCGTCACAGAAGTTGCGCTACGGCTATTGGGCCAACTCCACCAATCAGGAGGAGACAGCCACGGACATTGCCGTTTGAAAGCGCTGGAGACGCTGTAGTACATATTTCAGGCCACCAGATGGTGCTGTTCTCACTGAATCCGAGCATGAAAGGCAGTGTTAAATTGAGCGAAATGAGGAATGGCCAAAATGCATGATCTGTTTGGTATTTTGAAAAATGAAAAGTATAAATATGCCTTATATAGGTATGGTCCTACACTATATTATTCAAATATAGCATGATAGGTCCACTTTAAGTGTAGGACATTTAGGGGACGCTTCACTTGCTGTTAAACACAGCGAGGGGCTTGAATGCAGAAAAGAAAAAACATGAGGCACTGGGGATCGTTCATACTGTAGCAGGCTGTGCTTAAACTTAAATTCATTGGCCCTTCAATACCAACTACAGGCTTTTCAAATTTGAACATGCTCAAAAAAGTGCATATTGTTATTGGACGAGCGGAGGGACATTTAAACTAGTGAGAGTACGGTGTGTAGGCTCGTCATGCTCACTAACGGTGGAATCTAAGTGGTCACTCCACCAGGAAGAGTCGGTGAGCGCAGCCGAGTTTGATAGGAGTCTGTTTTGCAGCAGGGACGGACAGAAGAGGCTATAAACCAGAGGTGTACAGGTTTGGGATGGGGTAAAACTTGGAGACTCGACTCTGGGTGGAGGGGTTAAGGCATTCGGACTCTCCGCTCATCTTGAAGAAGACCTCCTGCTCCTGGAGCTTCCGCGTGAACTCATCCTCCAGCGCCTGCAGGGGGCAGCAGAGACAAACAGCTGAGTAATTGGGAGGATTACTTTGGAAAAAACCCACTCCTGACTGTAGTAGAGGAAGTCTGTATTTATGTTTAACTTCAAGAGGAAATGGAGATGTATAATACCTTCTTCCTGGGTCTCAGCTTCTCCCTCCACTCCTTTATCTCCTGGCTGTGCTCCTCGTCCAGCTCCTTCAGCTTTTGGGTCTCATGTTCGATCAGAAGGTGGCACTTCTCATTCTGAAAGAAAATATGGGTCAGCATGTGTGTCTTCAGGATGAAGGAATACCATCTCAAGTACTCTGACTCTTTATCTGCACTGGAACCTATTTCCCATTTTTATTTTCACAGCACAGGGTAAGGGGATGAAAATAAGTTAATTCTATATATTTCCTCCAACTTATCTTTTAATACATACAAAGTGTGTGTGTTTTTGTGTGTGTGTGTGTGTGTGTGTGTGTGTGTGTGTGTGTGTGTGTGTGTGTGTGTGTGTGTGTGTGTGTGTGTGTGTGCAGCGGCCTCACCTGTAGCTCCTGAAGCTCCCTGATGTTGGAGTCACACTGCAGCTGCAGATCCCTCATCTGGTTCTCGTGTTTCTGGTGTTGGTGAAGTCTCTCGTTCTTCTGTCTCTTGTCTTCCTGAGCAGCAAACTGGACCACGCAGACAAATATACAAAACTGTAACGGCAGCTCAAACCCAAACAAATATCTACTAAATGATTTATCTTTTTTACACTGGGGTTGGATTTTAAAAGCTGGTGCTCTTGTGCTTCAGGCATTGCCTGCATCTGTTTCTATATGTGTGGGTTAACCAGCACAAGAACAAGTCCACCACCTAGCAGTAGCATATTTAAACCACATATTCACATTTAAATGCTACTTCAGATATATTTAGTGAATGCATATGTTTAACTAAGAGGTGAAGCTGTTTAATTAGAAAAACATACTTTTCAAATTTTTGGAATGACAAACAAATGAAAGGTTTAGTATCCCATTTTTCCACCAGCACTTAAACGCATCATGCATTTGTGGGTGTACGTGTTGCTGGATCGTAATTCACTTTTTCTGAAAATAAAGTCATGCTTTTTTGAACAGCATTGTGATGACCCCAGTGCCAGTAAAGCTTGTGGAACAGAGACTGGAAATGTGTAGACATGGCAGGATAATAAGAGAGTCTTTTTGGGCAGGTCCTTGGCGTGACTGAGCCAGTATGACATCGTGTTGCCAAAAATAGAACATGCATGTTTAGTCACTTGTGCTTGAATGTGAGTAACAGGACAGCAGCAGGAGTCCACGTGTTACCTGTTTTATCCTCTCCCTCTCCTGCTCCACGGTGACCGATGCAGTGGCGGTGATGCGGAGGCTCTTCTTGAACATGGCCATGCGTGTTTTGGCCTCACTGCGCTGAATCTTGGGCAGACGGACCCTCTCTTGGTTCTGTTTGTTCTTCATCTCCTCGACCAGCCGCTGGTTGTAGCGATGCATCTGCTCCATCTCCTACAAAACACACACATGCACATAGCTTTGAGTTCGGCGGCATTTAAAATAATAAGACATCTACATTTCCCCGAGTGGATTTCTCTCTTACTTTCTCGTGCCTCTTCAGCAGCTGGTGTCTCTGCAGGAAGTATTGGTCTTTGAGCTGCTGCTTCAGCAACTGGTGCTTCTCCTGCAGGTGGCGCTCCTCCAACTCCCACATGGCTGCCTCTCGAGCTACAAAACACACATGTGCACACACATGAAAACATCTCCTGAGGCCACGTAAGTGTGAAGTAGAAAACATGTATATGCTTGTTAGTCGGTGACGACAAGAGCAAAGAAAACTAAACGGACACATTACATGTTAGATGCTTTTATCCAAAGCTTATCCACTTACATACTCAATACTGTGGGCAATCCCCACAGGAGCAATTTGGGGTGAAGTGTCTCAGGGACACAACGACATGCTGACTGCAGTGGGGTTTGAACCTGTGACCCACTGATCCCAACACCAAGGCTCTATCCACTGCGCCACTCGCCTCCATTGACACAAACAGTGTTGTGTTCCTTGACTTGTCAAATGTTCAACCTTTCAGGCTGTTGTTGGTTTCATGTCTGCTATGAAACTTGAAACTCACACAGGATGTGAGCTCAGTTGGTTGCTTGAGAGTTAATCCCACACATAGTGTTTGTAAAATGTTATGGAAACGTAGTGAGCATGGATTAGGAGGAGTCAGCTGATGTGGTGCCTTCAGCTGCGTTGTGAGGAAAGCATCACAGCGTTTCACACCAGCGCATGAATGAACCACAACAGAATGCTTTAAACCAATCCATACTTGATACTAAATCATTGACAACATAAGGACAGTGCAATAGTCCTAATAAATGAATTGTAATCTCTTTAACCTTATTTTACGTCACAGGAAAAGAGATAACATGAAGCCATGATAGTTTTCTTCAGAAGCTGTATTGTAGTGAAAGGACTGATTTCTTACCTCTCATCAGCTGCTGCTTGTGGTTTAAGCATTCTTTCTCTATAGTGGTGATCTCCACTTTATGCTGCTGGATGATTTTCTTCAGAGCTACGTCCAGCTCCTGCTGCTGCTTCTGTAGGAACTCCTGCTCCTGGAGGGAGAAGGGGAGCAGTGAGAGGAAGGCGGGGGGGTCACACAGAGAGACAGTAAAGACAAAGAGAGAGAGAGAAGAGGGCACAATAACATTTCTCAAGTATCTAAACTGCCTGAAATTAAACTATATATTCTAGTCAAGCCATCCACTTCAACTTCAGAACAACACACAGCAACTGGTATCAGTAGAGGAGACACTCAGAGATCATGGATGGCAACGATCCACGAATGGAGGTGAAGAGAGAAAGAGAGAAAGTTAACAGTTCAGTAAAGATTCACAGTTTACGTGAGACAACATCGACATTGATGTTCACACCGTCCAGAGAGCAGCGTAGATTATGCATGACTGATAGTCATTCTCTATTTATTTATATTTTCTCTTTATTTGCACAATATTTAGAATTCAGATTTCTTCTACTTTTCTGGGGGCAAATTGTACGTTATACAGTATGCTGCTATTACTTCACTATGATTAGGCATAACTAATCAAACACACTCAAAGATGTCACCATGAACACCTACAGTACACTGCAGTTGAAGATGGTTTACCTGTGATACTGTAACTAAAGAATGCACTATGATACAAGTGACTCCTACATCCATCCTGTGAGGCAAGTCAGTCTATATTTGTCTGACAGAGACAAACATGGATCCAGACAGCGACTACACCTCTGGGATGGAGCTGTTTACTCCCAGACTCAATGTAGCGATGTAACACATTATATTAAACCACAGACCAGATGTAGAACATTTGTGGAGAGAAATACTGAGAGAAGAAATAACCACTGCACAAACACACTGAAGACAACACTCAAAAAAACACACCGTCCATGATGACATGTGTCGTTATTACAAACTGAACTATCTCAAAGTATCCTCTCATATCTAAGTATGGGCCAGAAACAGAAACAGAATGTGGGGTTGATGGTGGAGGGGGGGGACACACTTACATCCTGCATCTGAGCGTTGAAGAGTGCGCATGAGGACAACTGAAAAGACTGAATCATAACCTGGGCCACTGCCTGTGGAGGAGAGCACACAGCGCACTCGTCCAGATCAGGGACACACACACAGCTGAGGATCTCTCTCTCTCACTCTCACACACACACACACACACACACACACACACACACACACACACACACACACACACACACACACACACACACACACACACACACACACACACACACACACACATACACACACACATACACACACACACACACACAGTGATTCTTCCTAAGTTATGTAAGAGACTTTCCACGTTGGGAAAACCGCTGAGTTTAAGGCTCACAGCAGAGTTTAAGGCTCACAGCAGAGTTTAAGGCTCACAGCAGAGTTCTGGTTAAATGTTAGAAGGAAGTCAATTAATACGTTATTTATAGTCTTCTCATGCTTGAAGGCGGCACTTGAGTGTTATCCAGCTTGAGTTGTTTGGTTACTTTCCATGCTACAGGCTCCACGAGGGTTAAATGAATTGCTAATAAACCTTTCAAGGGAACAAAGGCCTTTGTCCACATGTCTAATTCATAAAAGATGAACAGAAACAAAGTTAGGAAAGGGCTTTTAGTACAGATGTCTGCTATGGAAACAAAAGCTTTGCATGAACTCACTACACTGAGCTCGACACTCATCGATTTGCATCATCACTGACGAGTGTGCTGTGACATGCAAGTCTTTTCAGGGGGAAAATAATGAATAGAGAATGTGGGGTGTTAAGAAAAGGGTAGAATAGATGCAACTACAGTACATTTGTTCCTATGTGTACAAATTACAGTATGCACTATTTTGTAAGGGATGGACGTTTTTGATTATTGTTATTTCTGGATTGTTTGGTCTTTAAAAAGGTCCGAATGACTGGAAGGAGCTCATCACAAGTCCTTAAGTCGTTTTTTTTCGATTAACATTTTAAAACCCCCGAAGAAGTTCATTTTATTATCATGGAGAACAAAAAGAACAGCAAATATTCACCAAAAAAAAGTATTTTGCTCAAAATATGACTTCAAGTTTCTGTCAATGGACTAATCAACTAATTATTGAAGCTATACTAGTTATTCCTTTTTACATTGTAATATTGATGCACATAACTCCACAATAGTTTCCATAGTACAACCTCCATGTATATGTCTTTTATGTAATTGCTGTTTGTGTGCATTGAAAATACTTTATAACAACGAACCAGGTTATAGAGAGGAAAGGGAAAGGAGGAAGAGGGGGAAATCTTCCTCTTCCTCAGAGTAAGAGACAGCAGGTGAAGGTTTACCTCTGCGGTCTTAAGGAGCAACAGGTCCTCCTTTATGCGTCTCATGAGCTCTTTTCTCATATGTTTGGGTGACTGTCCGACTTCCTCTTGGACCTAAAGTGTGTGTGCAGACAATGGTTGATGCTGTGTGTTCTGAAAATCTAACAAAGCTGGCCAACAACAGAAGAAGAGACATGCACGGCCCACTTTGAGAGGAGATACTGCACCCGGCCACCAACTGATTTAAATTCAGCAGAATCAACTTCCTGTCTGACGTAACTTAACCGTTAAGACAGTTGTTTTTGATTAGAAGCATTTCAGAAATGTGAGTTTGAACTGCAATCAAGTCATGAGTTTCTCAAAAGAAACATTCGACTGGTTCATGGCAGATGTTAGTCTCAAAAACAGCTCCCTCTGTGTTACTATGCATTCAAGTCCCACCGCCTTAGTTATGATTTATTCTGGGAATAAAAAAAAGAGTAACCGAGTTGGAGTCATCTGGCAAATACGGCCTTTGAATGATTTACAGTCGACTGCTCTAATCCTTGTCATTTAAAAGTGAATGCAGGTTACACCTCACTGACACTTATCTCCATCGCCACCATCGAGTAAGCAATTGATTTATATGAGAAATACTTCAACATTTGACTTAAGATGATTCCATATCAGTTACTCTTTTTTTATAATATCCCCAAATAAGCCCAACACCATTTGGAAGAATCTTCGAAAGTCGGCCATCCCATGACCAAAGCCACCTCACACACTCATACAAAACACATGGTTAGTTAATACAGAACAGAAATACAGTACACTTAAAAAAAAAGACACAACATTGCAAATATCAACATATTTAAAATAATGCGTTGTTTCCATAGAAAGAGCTTATATCTCTGCAGCTGCACAAACACAACAAAGAACATAGCTGAGAACTGAAGCAACCACTTTGAGCCAAACCTGCAATAATATTTTTTAAATACAATAAACTATGAGGTAGTTCAGAAAGCAAATTACGGAGAGCGCAACCACCACCAGGCAGCATAAATACACAATGGATGCCAATTGGCACTTTTGGCATAAAAAAGCTGCATTAAGCAAAACACAGAAACTGCAAGCACGCCCAAAACTAACAACAGAGCATTTACTGTACGGCTGCCAAGCAGAGAAAGACCTAACATACTGTATATGAATAAAACAAGCTGAGCACACTCTCACAAGACTGAACTTTTACAATATAGCTCTCTAAAAATAACATATAGAGTTAGCAGCACAGTAATGCTTAGGAGGCAACCAGAAGCCTCAGGGCAGATGAATAATGGTTACAACAACACCATGGAGTTAGCAGCACCGAGGAGAAGGATGGCACAGTCTGTCTATGGCCATCATTTGCACAGAAACAGTACCAGGCAGAGCAGAGAGGCACTCCCACAGGATTAATATGACACAGCCAAGTATGCCACCGCCTAAATAGTTAACCACATGCCCCATTAAACAGCTCGGATCTATGACATGCAATTGTTACAAACCCAAGCTCCAGCAGTTAGGAGCTGATCAGCCCACTAAAGGCACTTCCAAGCAGAAACAGTCATGCACCGCCCCTACCTCTTTCTTCCGATTCTTCATCATGTTTTGGAACTTGGAGAGCTCCTTGTCTTGGTCGGCTTTGATGCGTTTGGCTTCGTCTCGGAGCCGGCTGGTGTGATCCTGTTCCAGCCGCTCGATGGTCTGCTTCTGCTTCTTCTCAAGGTTCTCCACTTCTTGGTCATATTGGCGCTTCTTAGCCTGCATGGACAGAATCAGCAGAACTGGCATCAGCCTGACATCATGAAGTCAGATTAAGACTTTGGCTTTGCTGCTTAGAGGAGAGGAAGGTTTAACTGGAGAATACATCTTTATGGTGTCATTTTAACCTAGAAAACATATTGTCAGAATCAAATGTATCTTTTTAATGTTGAGACCATAATTCATTAAAGGTCCCCTATCATACTGTTTTTCATCAATATATTATAGGTCTCAGATATATACAAACAAACATGTCTCTGAAGTGTTTGGCTCCAAATACCAAACAGATTATTGTAGCGTCCCATAATCCCCTCTGTTTCAGCCCTGTTTCCAAAGAGCTGATTCTCTGTTTGTTACTTTAGATGAAAATAAGGAGCCACTCCCCACGCCCCTCTGACACCTCATTCACACCAACGGTGTTTCAGGGCCGGTTCGGAGCTGGAGCTTGAAAAGCACCGGGTTTTCCTCTTCACACCGCAGCGGAGTAGCCTCTAAGCTCCGGAATCCGGTTCGTTTCGAGCACCAAAAAATTGTCCGGCCGGAGCAAAAGCACCGCATACGTCACGCTTACGTCGAGGCGGGGGCGGGATCAACTCCTGAACAACAACAAAAAGCCGGCGTTTTATCCAGTTTGTACACAACGATGGAGAAACTTAACAAGCAGAAGTTGTCCACTGAAGAGACCAGCTACCTACTGGGAATCTGGTCTTCTGAAGACGTACAGAGGAAGCTGGAGCACAATCGGCCATTGTTGTTGTTGTCGGTGTCAGCTGTGAGGGGTTTCCACGCGGTTTGGCTTTATGAAGCAGGTACACAAACGGTTACGTCATGACGCAAACGATGACGCAATGACGCAGCACCAGTCGGACTCTGGGCTGTGTGAAAAGAGCCGGAGCTAAACCGAAGAACCGGTTCTGAACCTGAAAAGCTCTAGCACGGAGCTTGAACCGGAGTTGCGTTGGTGTGAATGACGTATGAGAGAGCTTTGGTTAAAAAGAGGAGGAGGAAATTCAGGTGATAAGGTGTGTGTGTGTGTGGGGGGGGGTTATCTTGGTTGGTGATTGGCTAATGGTTACACAAGACAAAAAGTCGTTATGACATCATAATGACACATAAACAATGTCATAAAACATGGACCAGGACACTGAAGTCCCTGGTCAAGCATTTGTAACTCCCGCATCGACTACTGCTAAGCATTCCTCTCAGGCATTCCCACCAAACATCGATAAGAGGGTTAAGTGCGAGAGCGCTGGCTTAGCGGGAAAGGGTCAGACACATCACCTGGGGGGGGGGGGGGTGGCCGGGCGCGCGGCGGGGCGGGCGGGCCGCGCGCGGGCCATCCTCATGGCAGGGTCGGACGGCGGGGGGGGCGGGGGGGGGGGGGGTCCGTTCAATCCCGTAATCAACCAAAACCTAACTGTTCACACAAAGCCCTACATCTTGCTCCGGCATGGCTCAGATCGGCCTCAGTAGGGGCTTGACTGAGACGTAGGGCCGCCGTGTTAATCACCCGATCAGACCTGAAAATAGGAGGTGTGGACTGCTACTTGGAGAGGCCCAGTCACCTCACTGCCCTGCCGGTGCCCTGAGCAAGGCACCGGACACCCCCTTCCCCCCCCTCACTCCCATGCTCCCCGGGCCGGTAACATAGCTGCCCACGCTCCTATGCTAGACTCCCTGGTACTCAGAATGAGTTAAAAGCAGAGAAAACATTCGACTGTGGTGCTGCTGACCATTCAAGAAGTGTTTCATCCCTCCCAATTCTAATCTAATATCTGCCCCGCCCTATCTGGCATGACCTCAGGAAGTACACCTCCCTCTCGCTCCTCCCGCTGCCTCCTCTGCTGTTCGCAACCGCCCCACCCCACACTCGCCGCATGGGTGCTCGGCTTTTAGCTGGCACGCCCAGACCTGAACTCCCTCCCCCGCACATCGACAGCGACCCAATCACCATATTCAAATCCCAATTAAATAACCCATCGTCCCAATCTGCCTACTCACTGAGCGCTCCCCATAAAGATGTTTCATTGTGTCCACTTTGTCTCCGTCCATGATTTCCTGTTGAGTGGTTTAATCATGTTCTGTTTGCCCTATAGCGTTTCTTTTTTAAACAAATGACGGTGTCCTTGGTGTCATGAAAGGCGCCTAAAATTAAAATGTATTATTTAGCATTATTATATTATTATTATTAATAAAGGGACAAAATGGGATCAGCTCATTTTCAGACAAAGCGAGGATTTTATATAAAAATGATCAGCACAAAAAAACGTCAGATCTCTTTACACATGTTTATCTATAAAAGCACATGAAAAAGTGGATTTGCATAAAAGTGACCTTTTAAAGAGAAATGTCGCTTTGGAGACAAATAATACATCGCAGCAAATGAATAAACAATAGGCCCTGGAGTCTGGCCCCGCCCCTTATGTAAGTCCCTCACATCAGATGTAGAATCTGCTTTGAGATGAAGCAGCCCGTTCCAGGTGTAGGCCAAATACAGAAAAAACACACCATCACACACCGCGGTTCGAAACACTGACTCACAGCAGTTGCCTGTTTCAAAGCGGCGAAGATCGCCTCTCTGCTGCTGGCAGCTTTGTGTGCCAGCTGCGCGGGGCCCCTCTGCCCTCTTTCTGCAGAGGCCAGCTCTCTCAGCTCCGCCGCCTGAAGGAAACCCACATTGGGAAAACACGTGTTAACTCATCTTCATCTTAAACATGTATGTTCATTTCGAGATAAGATTGAATCGTAGGGGCTGCCCAATTAATCATATTTAATCGCGATACGATGTAGCTGGGTGCAACGATTGACGCAAAACAACGTAATCGAAATAAAACGATTTTAAAAAATTATAATTAAATTTTTTTAATTGATTTATTATTATTTTTTTCAGTTGAATTATTATACTTAAAGTTCAGGGTAATCAACTGTTAAAAACATACTGTTCACATTTTTTTTCTCCAATAAATGGATCTTTTCAAAGTCAATGAATAATCGCCTTTAATAATCGCAATTACAATTATTGACCCAAATAATCGAGATTATGATTTTTGCCATAACCTCGCAGCCCTAATTTGATGGTTTGTTTTATATATACATTATTAGTCTCCTGATTATATTTACTAGCTGCTTTGAAGGTCCTGCTCTCTCCATTTCTGAATGAGTATTTAAAGTGAAACATGTTACTGTCATGAAACCAACAGCAAATAGTCAGACAGCACTTGTGTAAACATTCGGAGCAGCATGGCTTTAAATGGAAACATGGGAGATGACAGAAACAAAACGAAGCATTCATCACGGGAGATAACCCATCTGGCATTTGTTAAACTCAGTGGGAGTTGTGAAATGAATAAGAGCTAAATAAGGCAGGCATGTTAAATAGGCCATGTCACATATTTAGAACAGCGCAGTAAGCAGATTGCACACAGACGTACCTCAGGAACCTCAGCTCTTCGCTCTTGGTGTCGTTATCTGTCACTATCTTTGATGTCGTCACGCTGACCTCCACACCGTCCACCATGAACTTACGCGTCTTCTTCAGAGTCTTCTTCTGACGTCTTGACTCCTACAAAAAAAAAACAGAAGATTGGGTAAATGATCTAGAGTGGGGATGATTTGACAACTGAGATTGTTAATGAGGCACAGATGATTTTACCTGCATAGATATAGAGCCCCCGTCTTTACTCTTGGACAGGAAGCTGGATATAGACAGATTGAGGTCCAAGCTGCTGCTATCGGCGGCTGAGCTGCTCCCAGAGTCGGAGTCCTTCTCCAAATCCGACTTGATGGCAGCGGGGCTTCCATGCTCCATCTTGCTTTCTGAATCCGTTTCGCTCTCCTGGACAGAGACGGCATCTTGAGACGCGCTCCCATCTGCGGCGGGGGCTTTCTCTTCATCCTCCTTCAGATCTTTAGGCGTGGCCACTTGTTCTGAATCCTCAGAGGTGTCTTTGGCTTCATCGATGACTCCATTAGTGGATTCAGTTGGAGTCTTTTCCTCCAGATCCTCCTCCTTGGTCTGATTCTCTTGTTCGGGCTGTTCTGCCTCCTCGTGCTTTTCCCCTGGCTGACTCTCTACCGCCTCCTTCTCCAACAGAACCGCACCGGAGCACTCATCCACGCTCTCTGTGTCCGTGTCTCCATTTACTGCTGTGTCCACTACATTTGATTCTATATCCCCTGTGTCTATAGTCACATCAGTGCCATTAGCTGTGTCTTCTGGTATGTCCTCCATCACTTTCTGTTGAGGCGTCTCCTCATCCGCTTTGCTTTCTTCTTCTGCCTTTGCCTCTTCTCCTGATATGGATGCTTTTTCTTCTGGTGTTTCTTCAGGTTTCTCTCTGGATTCTTCTGTACCAACATCTTTTTCTTCTTCTGCTTTCACCTCCTCAGGTTCTTCGATTACAGGAGTCGGTCCGTCTTCTGTTTTCTCTTCTTGTGTCTCCTTCTGTTCCTCCTCTGTTTCCTGACCATCTGGGATATGTTCTTTTGCATCCCCTGCTACAGGTTCTTCAACTACAGCTTCTTCTGGCTGTGATACTACAGGCTCAGCAGGAATCTCTTCAGCTTGACCGTCTTCTGGTTTGAGCTCTGCAGGATCTTGTGGTATTAAGTCCTTGGGGGGCTCTAGTAGCCCAGAGGCCAGGTCTTCATTACCGGCATCAGACACCTCGTTGAGTTTCTCCTCCTCAGTCTTGTCTACCTCACTCGTTCCAAGTCCTTCATCAGAGAGCTTATCACTGGTCTGGTCTTCAGTAGCAGTTATTTCCGAAACCGATTCCAGGGCAGAGGGAGTTGCTGGGACTTTGTCGTCCTCTGAGCTGGCCACACTGGCATCTGATGGCGCTCGCTTGTGCCCAGGAGCCGCCTGAGCCAACAGCAAAACATGAAAACAACAATATGTTATTTACACCAACAACTCAATCATAAATGTAAACATATTGAATTCAGTAGTATGCTGGATACATGTACAAACACCAATTATGCTGCATACCACAGGTGTATCAGGCTCTTCTTCCTCCTCTTCCTCTTTGCTATCCTCAATCTCCTCTGTGACTTCAGCTTTGGCCTCGGCTATGAGCTCTCTGAGAGGTCTGCTATTAGTTACACTTGTGACAAAAGGATGCTACACATATGGCGGAGACACAAGAAAATATACATCATTAGTCTTAATATCAGGTTAATAGAGGACAAACAGCAAACAGACATTACAAATGGTTTTAATGTAAGTTTGTATGCATGATTTGTGCTATCTTGTGATTGGCCTAAATGGTTGCATATTGTTAGTTAACAGCAGGGAGTGAGTGGAGTAGGGCAGCTCACCTGTAGAAGCTGTAGCGTGCCCCACCTATTGTCAACATTCTTATCAAGTGCTTTCCGCAGAAAGTCGTTGAATTCTGGCGACCTTTGAGGAATAAATAAAAGAGAATCAGCTTGTATAACAGTCCATAGGTCCTGGAAAGAGAAATGTATACCATGCCTTCCCTGCGGGCACACAGTTAAGCATTAACAATTTCCCCTAAGCGTTCACACATTAAACAGTCGACACATCCTTATCTCCAATCCGGAAACATTCCAGCGCCACCTCTCTAGTTATCACCAGTGCTCAATCTCACCAGCGAGAGGGATGCATGAGTGTGGGAGGCTCGGACTTGGCTATTTTCAGAAGCACTCTCATGGGATTCATCTCGTGGTTGGGCGGCTCAATCTGCGCCAGCTCTATCAGGGTAACCCCCAGGGACCAGATGTCGGCCTTAAAGTCGTACGGACGGTCTTTGGAAGTTTCACACATGACCACCTCTGGGGCCATCCTGCAAAATAAGAAGTGGGGTTGTAATAAGCATGGAGGTACATCTGGATTTGGAGTGAATGTGAATTTGGTCACTTCTCTTCAATCTTTAATGATAAAAAGCCAATACAATACAATGTGTGTTAATGTTAGACTTGATTCTGAAAGGTAGGAAGTCTATTCAGAATATAACGCTGAGGTCATTCAACACTGTGCATCTAAATGGGTGAATCATGCCTTTTCCGTTTCTATGCTCCAGGACAGCTTTTGTGCCACTGCATAGAAAAAGTGTAGCAGTGAGACATGTTGGGACAATTATCAGCTGGACAGAGGAGAATGGCCTCTTGTCTGCAGACTGCATGACTCACCAATACGGAGTCCCGATGAAAGAATCTCTTCTCTGTAACGTCTTAGTATTTTTAGCAGACACCCCAAAGTCAGCTGAAGGTAGAAGAAATTAGTTAGGATTATTTTGGTGAATCAAACTTGCTCATTTAAACTTTTTTTAGAGCCACAAAGTTGTATCAGAATTATTTTTGAACTAAACTGCTTCAAGATTTTAAATAGGAACCCCGGCAGTGGGACAGAAAAAAAACTAAATGTCTCTTTCCTATCATCACTCACAGCAGTTCTGTTACCTATAAACCATTTCACCCTGCTCTCTCTTTTTCTCCCGACACTTACAGCTTGCACACATTAGAGGGAAAGTGAGATCTGTCGTTAAGTCCGTGTTGACTGCTTGATAATTATTGTTTGCCAGGCTCCGCCATGACCCTCTGCCTACAGAGCATGAATCATCACCAGGGAGCCAGCCGCTATGGATGCTACAAAAGCAACATGAATACTTTAACTTCTGGAATATTATGCAACAAAGTCAATATAACACCAGCTCCAGTGCATAAGTGGTGTTGATGCAGTCCTCTCCTTTGGTGTAATAGTAAACGGGTCACTTTGTTTTGTAACTCTAAAAATGAATAAATGCATGAATGACTCATTCCAGTTTTATCATATGTCGACACTGCTGTGCACCATTTCCCCCGAAGTCACATAGCTCAGCTGGTTGCCACAGCACTGATTGCAATGGGACCCACACATGACTTTACGTATTAACCTATTAAGCCTATAAGTGCCGAGGGTTCAAAGTGGCCACCAAGAGCAAAATCAATAATATATTAGCCATTGTTCTGTGTAGTATTTTGAGTTTAACTGGACCATGATTGAATAATCCTTCACATTTAGAAAAATATCCCAATGACAAATGCAGAAGCAAAATATGACAAAATTGTTTTTACCCAGTTTCACTTCTCCCTCCAAGGAGAGGAGAATGTTCCCGGCTTTCAGGTCTCTGTGGATGACTTTGTTGTCGTGGAGGTAAGTCAGAGCCTCCAAGGTCTGCCGACACACCACGCGGATCTGCGGCTCCGTCAGGGCCCTCTCCAGCTCTGCACATGCACACAATTCATGTTATTATGGTTATGGTAGGTGTAGTTTTTTGGTTCACTTTTACAAACACAGACAACTCTAATTGGCTGGGTACTTAACCCACTTCATCTGAAAATACATTTAAAAATGGTACTGTTATCTCCACCATATGAATTGTCATTATGAATTGAACCAATGTTTGTACTGATTGATGAGTAAATGTTTGGAAACCATTTAGCATTTAGGGTTAGAGTAGGTGTCACATTTGATGAATATTCAAAATGTTTTATGATTGTTCTTGTATTTGAACAGTCCGTTTTGGATCTAAACTGACTGGGCTACTGTATATCATTTCAGATGTGCTGGTCTGGCGGTATCCAATAGCAACATGAGGGCCAACTGCCACCCTGCCACTCGTCAGCATGTATGACTGGACAAGTCCGGGGGAAGAAATTCATTCTGGGTGAGTCAGCAGGGCAGAAAGCATCGACACCCAACAGTGCAGTGAATGGATTGTTATTCTCTTTGTGGTTCAAGCATGATAGAAAGTGGTGTGGTGTTTCTTCAAGCAACACAATAACAGGGAGAAACTGCCGGCATTAGAAGTGGACTAACCCCCTCCATGAAATCTGAACTACAATAATTACACAGTTGGAATGGCCTCTCTTAACTGGGAGAGGAAAAAAAATATCCCACAAGAGTTTATGGACGGAATAAAAAAGTAAAGAATTGGCACTTGAGGATGGAGCAAAGAAACAGCTCCAGAACTTTATAGTGTTTTTCTGTTTCCTGCACTGAATGAGGGACTTACCCAACATGATGGCATCCACTGCACCACCCGCACAGAACTCTATCAGAATCTGAAATGATAAAGCAAAGTGGAAAATAAGTAAATGTGTACTGTTATGCAATAAAGTCAACACATCTAACTCTCATAGCACAGAATGTGTTTCAAATGAGATACACTAAAATAAACCTGTGTTATCTAAGGTAGGAGAAAAACATGACCCCTATGTGAGAGACATCAGAACCCCCTTTTCTATGTTATTGATTACTCTGTGGAGACAGTCCAAGAAGCCTATCGATCAGACGCTGAACATCCTGAGCAGCATCCTCTGTTGACACGTCTTTTCAGCATAATCTATGTTTTAATCCTTGCTGGATCAATTTTCAGGCTGGAGAGAGGGACTGGGATCCTCCCCTCGTGTTTTCTTTAACATGCACAGCAATTTTTATGCAAATGGTTTGTTAGTCATCAATCATTTTGACAAAATTAACTATTTTTAGAGCATTAGGGTCTTATTCAAGTGTAACTGGTTAGTGAGTGTTTCTACACATGACTCACGTCCAGGGTATTTCCTCATACTGTACATTCTTAGGAAAAATGGTTTCCTCATTCATGTGAACATGATAGCTTTAAGCAAACACTCCTCCTCAAAGCAACAGGTTGTGTGCAGTACACACAATTGAAGCCCTGGAGTACAGACAGATGAATTATTGCCACAAACTAATATTTTACATATCCATATATTTATTTAGGGATTACTAGGGAAGTACTGATTACATTAGGTATGGCTTTAAAACCATGGCAACAAATGACTTTCACAACTTTAACAAATCACCCGCTCTCTATAACAAGGAGGAAGATAACATAGTACCATCATTGTGTTATTGAGATGTGAAACTGACCGCAGCTGTAATGTATCCGACCACCACTTCATGCACTTGCCAGCCAGTTGGCAGCTTATTGATCAAGTCAATATGAATGTATGTATAAAGCCCATTTCATTCATAATGTATCAGTTGATAGAGCAAAATGAATCAAAGCTACATCGAGCAACGCTTCTATTCAGAGACTCAACAGAGAGGAGAAACCAAGTGGTTGTTCCTGTTCTGCATAAACATTTAGCATGCCATGGGAATCTCACTTTTAGTTTGGTATGATTCTGAAAAGGTGATGATCTCAGGTTACATTGAAACATTATGCATGGCAATAAATCCTCTCTTTTCTAGCAACTTTTTTTTAGCAAAAATATGATGCATTGAGTCAACAACATCCACACGTGCAAAGCAGATTACACATTCATCATGCTGCTTAAAGACGGGGGCCGGAGGGACAACCTGCATGCAGCTCTGAATTATTCAGGCCCTTTCTCCAGCCACTAAAACCACTCCATTATCTTCTCATAGATGTGGCCAGTCCACAAGGGACGGTCACATGACACCACCTGCCAGGACCTAATTGCTCTGGGGCCTCTTAGTGAGATCTACTGACCGACTATTAGAACTGCAATGTGACCAAACTCAGGAATAGAACATGGGTTTGTAGAAATGAACTCTTGTATTACCATAAAGACACAATATAGGCTGTTAAGGGTTTGTGGGGGGTAAGAATCAGGTCATACTGTATGTGGAGCATGCCTGTGACTTCAGCTGGAGGATTATGACCTATGACTCCTCAGAGGTCAGTTAATCCTGAACATGCGGTCCTGGCCTTGTACTAGCCCCTGACTGTGCCACATGATCATTTTTTAAACTCTTCAAATGTAGGCGATAAGAAAAAAATGCAACGCTATTTTTTAATTTTTTATTACAGCTTAACAAATCGTGGCTGGTGATGAATTTGTGTGTCTCTCCGTGCGTGACTGATCCCTGCCTCTTTGTCTCTTTGGCTTCAAATCAAAAGCAACACGGAAACAAAGAAGCAAAAAAAACAACAGTTCTCTCTGTGAAGCACTTGCTTACTCACCCAAAGTTTGCCTTCAAAATAGAAGGCATCCAGCAATTTGACGATGTGATGGTGATCGCAGGAGGCCAGAATTTCAATCTCTACCATGTAGTCCTCCAATTCATCCTCCGTCTTCGTGTCAATAACCTTGGCAGCAGCGAGGGTCCCATTCTGCTTGTTCTGAGCCTAAGAAAACAACATTGACAACAAAGGCTTGAGTATGCTGATCAATACATGTCTGATATCGCTGGCCAGACTACAGAACATTTAGTCTTATTGTCCAGGGCATCGCCATAGAGTGGCTATTGTGGAAGAACATCAATCATCGTTAACATTTCATTAAAGACAAAAGGTATTTTAGAGCTAGAGCAATAACCACTGCAGCACTTCCTGTCTTGTGTAGCACCTGGAGGGTCACATCTCTATAAATACATTTCATTCAGACTTTATAACATGTTGGTATATATTGAAAAGGAAAATGTCTGAAGAAAAAACCCATAGCAACCACTTGAGGTCAAAATATTTACAAAACACCCCATCATCTTCTGCCCTACTCGAACAAAAGCTGAGCTGGCTCACTTCCTCCCCTTCATTTCATTCCCTTTCTTTCCTTCCTTTCACTTTGATACACCTACCTACAGTAGGTCACATGTGAAGTCACACCGGCAGTAATTTAGAGGTCATATTAAACACGTTTTTATTTCATAGACTTAACAGATCAATGGGTTGTGCTTGTCTTTATTGGTAACACATTAACGTGAAGTCTTCCCTCCTGAATGGGCTATACTGAAGAGACAACAATGAAAAATGTCCCACATACCCCGTCGAACAAGTGGCTATTTTAAGTACAGCTTTGGGCTTAATGTTTATGGATACAAACACAATCTCAGGGAGTTAAGGGAAAAGAACAGGGAGGGAGTGTTAGAACTGTCACACACTATATTTACACAGTTCTGGTCTGATACACTCCTTGCCTCTTGCCCTTTGTGCCACTGACGCCTGTCTAGCAAAGGCCATCACTTATACATGCCCACAATATCAGCGATGGCAGCGATGATTTGTCTGCCTCGGAGATATTCAAGTGGTGCCTGTGGCCTTCCGTCATTATTACATAAAACATTTTTGACTTAAAATGAGCTGGCTGTTATAGTGCGTTGAGGGATTAAATGAGAGGGTTTGTTAGTGTCATTTTTTAATACTAGTTTTTCCATCCGGTGAAAATTATGTGAACCAATAGGTTTTGTCAACAGAATTATGTAAGCTGTTTTTTCTAATAGATGGCACGCCTCTTCACTAATCAAAGGTGTAATACAAACTTGAACTGTGCTAATGTGCATGAAGATGTTCAATTATTTTCCACGCTCTTAAAACAAATGATTCACACTTTGCTGGCTGTGTCACCCCGCCCAAATGAGGCAGCCCTCAAAGGCCTGTGAAATAAATGGTGGAACAGTTATGTGACCTGGAGAAGTCACATCCTCCACACCTCTCTCTGTGGGAAAAGTGAGTCAATACATTTGAAAGTGTTTATTTGTCCACAACTTCAGTTTGACAAGGCACGATAGTGTTCTGGATTTCCTCACACTTAGTTAAACGGCTAATAAGACTTGCAAATGAACATTTCCCGGGCCATTAGCTGCATTACTTGATCACAAGAGTTCCAGGAAAAGACAATGTAAGTCACAGAGAAAAAAAAAAAAAGCCAAGGTTACTGAAATAAAAGAGTCCTGGATTGATGGATGTTCATGTGAAACACTTAACTAGATATATTTATAATCTGATAATGTGTCTGATTTGTATACATGTCCTTTTTTCTTAAGGGTTATTTAAGAGGTTTTATTCATTGATGTTGAAAGCATGTATGTTATCAGACATAGGTTTATGAACATAGTTAATCTCTCTTACATAAGATGTTCTCAGCCTAATGCAAATTCACATAGAGATAACTTGGAGAGGTGCGTCAGTGCAGAGATTAGAGATGTGGACACAATACCCTGAATACCTTGCAAATTAATCCAAAATGGCAAGCTTCAGCTTCAGAAATCATCACAAAATGAAACAACCCAACACTGGCACTCTGACTCTCAACAGAAACTTTAAAAAGCATTGCTTTGAGGATATTCCATTACATAGCATTGTACTGTATGTGTTGCGTGTGTTGTGTCCACCTCATGCACAATGTAAATTGTGTGTTGTTGAAACAAATAGGCCTATAGACCGTCATCCTAACGTGACAAACTGTTTACACTACATTTACATACACACCTGGCTGTGCACCTGCTGCAGTGCATGGCATAAAGAAATACAATGAGAGTCACATATTTAAATGTCAAGGGCAGCTGCCTTCAGGATGTTTTTACTGTCACTGAATACAACTTAAAACAACTTAGTTAGCATTGGAGTGGCCATTTTTAAGGTGAACCACACCTTCAACAGTTTGACTGAGGCCAAGTACAATTCAATGACATGACAAAGTCATAATTACTACATGGTAATGTGACAGGGCCTACTGTTAACGTCCAAAATAGATAATAGCCTACTGACACATTTAGGTAGGATGTTACTCAACAACAGCCCTAGGTCTCGCTTCTTCTAAAGGAGGATTTCAGTAAGCATAATAGTTGAAGTACAGTATAGTGTTGTTGTGAGATGTAATAACATGCACTTGACACACATATGTCATTATTGGGGGTCTAGTTACTTAAAAAAGGTGTCCTGAACGAGGATTCTGCTGTCATTTTACCGTTATATCTTATAATGAAAACAACATGAAACACAACGGAAGCGGGTGTCATAAGAAAAGGGTTAGCAAGAAAAGGCGGATGTTACACGTTACCTTGAACACTTTGCCAAACGCTCCATCTCCCAGCTCCCCAATGATATCCCATATTTCCTCCGGGTTGACGTCTCTATGTACATGTTCATACTGCTTTTTCTTCTTGTCAGGCCCAAGCTTAAATATCTTCCGAAAATTGAAGAACGACATGTTTTCAGGAGAGAACTACAGAGCTGTGGATGCGGTCTCTTCGGCTATTTCCGCCAAGAAGATATAGCCTAGCGGTTCCTCCCGAGCTTAATTGGCTATCGAAATAACAGCAAGCAGGCGTAAACTGCTGTTGTAGCCATTCAACTATGATAATGCCAATTATAACTTCCCTCGACGGTGGTTATTCATAATCATATCATAGAAGGGCGAGATGAGGGATACGGAGAAGAGTTCGCTGTTACGCACAAGCTAGTATTTCCGTTTTGAAGAAAAAAAACACAGTTATTAAACAGCAAATATCGAGCATTTCGTCACACACGATACGACATTATCATTATTAAACGTCAGTAACGGGAGAGTCACAGAGCCAATGCCTCGGTTGGCTGCTGGGCACACAGAAGTTAGCGGCGCAGCATTAAGCTAGATAACGTAAATTGATTTCCGTTAAAAGACGTTATAAAATAAAAGCAAACAAATAGACTTTTGGTCTCAGAAATATGTACAGAGAAAATAAACAGTTGTAAAGTAACTAAGTAGATTTACTCAGGTACTGTACTTAAGTACAATTTTGAGATACTCGTACTTTACTTGAGCATTTCAATTTTATGCTACTTTGTACTTCTACCCACCTGCAATTCAGAGGTGAATTGAGTACTTGTAATACCTTGTTACTTTGCAGATTTTGTTTAATAATGTGAAATATAATCAACACAAAATAAGAATTTACATATACCTGTATTAAATTCACAATTAGTTGAAATAAGTTCCAACTTTACCAGTTTGATTTAAACACATCAATAATAATAATAATAATAATAACCTAACAATAACATATACATTATGATTCTGAAATGGGCCAATCTGCATCATGTGTATTTTTACTTTAAGTAGGCCTACTGTACATTTTGACACCCTTGTTCTACTTTTACATTGGTACAACATCATAGTGATGTGTCCACCTCTATGTAGTCTGGTGTCTAGACATGCCACAAAACATCAGAAAAATACATGTGGAAATTATATCACACTATTCATTTATCTTTATGTTTCCACTTGTATTAAATTAAGCGTAAACTGCACTGTGTTGTTGAATGAGAATGTCGAATGTAGATGTAGCATTGCGTCATCATCATAATGGTTATTATCTCAGGTGACTCGCTAGACGCTTTTATTTTGAAGGCCTGCGTAGATGTTTCCGGTCCCTCTCTCTCTGTCTGTCGGTGGTGAATTGATGCAGTTAGTTAGCTATGTCTGTTTCCTGAATCACCTCACAGGACAGCTCAGTCTCAGCCCCTCGTCTCTACCACGCATGCTACTTGCGTCCTGTTGTCATGAGGAGGAAAACATGGTAGAAGTAGTATTGCTCAGGCCCACATCATGTTTTTATGGAGTCAGATGATGTAGCGTAGACCCACTGATCAACCCAGCTAATTAACTAGGCAGATGTGAGCTGTGCGGGTTAAGCATCCGATCATGCTTAAACTTATGATTACATTAGTTTGCATCATATAATAATTCCCAGTAAAAGTGTAAATATACACTATATCCAGGGTACAACAATGCAGGCTCTCTTATTCATAATAACTATGTGGTCTTACTCTGCAGAACACTTCTATAGCCTATGTGTTCTGCAGAATACATTGGAATACATATGGAAATAGAATACATATTAATTTACCTAGGAGATATCTCCTAGGTAAATTAATATTTATTCCAATTTTATATGAATTTGCCAATTATTGTTTGTAATTACTTTATATCATTGTTTTGACAATACTTCCAAGATTCGCCTGCAACCTTGCTCCAAGGATCCTTTGGCCACTAGTAACAAACAATAAAACAACAATGCAACGCTTTTCTGTTTACTAGGTTTATTAGGTACACGGACTAAAAAGGCAGTAAGTAATTGAACAACATTATACATCCCTCAGAAGTGTTAGTACTCTAGTATACTGCGCTCCCCATGTTTACACAGTGCAAATAATAACGATAATATTATTAATTATACAAAATGCACCACTTCATTAGGATGGTGACATTTTTGTGTGTGGTGTAGTGCCACCTTGTGGTAAAATTAACTCAATGTTGTTCTCCTTCTAACCTCAATGCTCCTGCCTCCACTAGGAGCGAGCAAAGTAATTTGCCATGTGCTGAGTTTAAGTGCTGTAGGAAATCCCACTGTGACTTTGAAATTAAGAGCCAAATGGACGGTGTACGGTACGTGATGGTCAGCTAAGCAGACACATTGCATATTTATATGTAATTGGTCATGCGTGTTTGAGCTTGTAGGCTACGCTTTTTTATTGAAGTTAATAATATAAAATGTGTACGAATATGAAGAAAGCCTCTATATTGTCACAGAGATGTAGCAACATCAAGCAAAAGTTAAAACCTAAGTGTTTCCAAGTATTTATGCTTGTATTCCCCTGCTGTGGCTGCGTTTGTAGGCTAAATTACAGATGCGAAAACGGTTTTGTTATGAAGGCTGTATACTTATTAACCAGGATAATTTGAGCGCAACACTACTATTCTCTTTCAATCAACTTTTATTGCACAAAGAATCGTGCTTTTGTCGTGTAGGGTGTCTAAATATTGTCCAAACTTAATGGTTTTGTGTATTAACATTTCTTCACAGAGTTACACGTGAGAAACAAGTGAAAAAACGTCTTCAAAGGGTCTCGTGCTGTGTGTCCAGCAAGCTCCGCGGGACCGCCCCGCACACAGGGACATGCCCTGCCCCGCTGCCTGAGCTCTGCTGCGGTAGGCCAGCACTCCTTGAGGGAGGGAAAGACTGATGAACCCCAGTTTTATTTCTGCGTTGTCATGTTTCACAAGGAGTTCAGAAGCTCCGAGACAGCCTGACACCACCGTTTCATGGATGCATCTGAAGTTTAGGCGCGGAGACTCTTTTTCTCTGTCCCTCTATTAACTTTCCATTCGTCTAAAGTCAATTAGCTTATGTTTTTGGACATTCATTATCGTTTTCATGCGTGAGCGTCTTCTTTTGTAGAATTTAGAGTATTTCTTGTTGCAAATCCCATTCAGTTTGTCAAGATGCAGCTCCGGACCGTCCTAGACGTTAATGTTGTGGACGTGCTGAAGAGAAGGAATCCCTCCAAACACTATGTAAGTTTTCTCGTCCTCTCTGTTTCTGCACTTATGTTGTAACCATTGTCTTCACATTTAAGACTTGTCTGTCGTTCACCCACTTTGGTTTTGACTGAATGGCTTTCCAACGATTGGATTGATTTGTCTTGACATTTTGTACATACTATCCATTGTGTCATATGATAAATCCAAATTAATTTTGTAATTTTGAGGAATGTCCCTTTTGTTCCACCAAGACATTCACATTTAAGTGAAATGTGGATGGATGGATGACATTTGACATGGTGAGAACAGCCTCATAGAGCTGCTAAACGCTGTAGACCTTTAAAAGCCCTTCCCTTGGCATGAAGTCTTTGGTTGGCAGTCAAACATATTGTCTACGTGTTGTAAACTATTGCCAACGTGTTGTAAACTATTGCCAATAGTTAATTGGTAGTAAATGGAAGAACATGGTGTTTTCAGGAATGATCAGAAATTTTCCTATTTTCGCAGGAGGGAAGTGTGTGTGTGTGTGTGTGTGTGTACGTGTGTGTGTGGCTGGCTATATGACAGGGAATAGGAGATAAAATAAACAGAGTTTGGCTGTAGCTTACAAGCCAGGAGTAGTTTTGCATCCTCCCTGGCAAACTAATTTTGCAAGTATGTCTACACACTGTTTAATGTCCTGCAGCTTACTAACAGCCAATATGGCCAACAAACTGACGTTAGCTGTGTACTCTGTGACTGTTTGTTTGCAGGACAAGATGTTTGTAGGATGAATAACAGGGACATTTGCAGGAAAGCAAATCTAGGTTATGAAAGTCAGTGGCTTTGGATGTATTGAGGTAGGGAAGTCTGTGTCTCTCATAACATAGAATATGCAACATTTAAATTTCATGTTCCAATTGTCTCATTCTTCTTTGAACAACAATATTGTTTTACATCCTAATGTTACTTTAAGACAATAACATAAACAAGCCCAATAAGTAAACTTTATTTTCATTGCACTTAGTAGATGTAATCTTACTGAGTCAACAAATTGCAGTTGAGCATCAAAAGGTTAACCAGAAGTGCATACAACGTACAGATCATATAATTAAAAGTAATAAAGAATAGAGAATAATAGAAGGTTAAGTGGAAGATATGAATCAGCATCGGCACTGATATCAACAGGCTATGTTAGGTATATAACATTACTGTATGTGGTTTTTATACATTTAAACACTGTGGACTTTTGTGTACCCTTCTGGCAGTGAGAGTTATGGCAAATACACTGTTGGCAAGTGCTTTTTGCTTTGTAGTTCCTTATAGCAGAGCCATCCACACTATGATACAGTACAGAGTTCATTAAAATGTCCTCATATGTGAATTTAGGCTTTTTTTATATGTTGTCTTGCCGGATACTAAGGCCTCATGGTTATGGAAGTCGTAATGTATAAAGATGCATTGTAACAAACACAATTGTGTTCAGAATGGAAGTGAACAAATGGGCGGGGCAGTAAGGTGATTACCTTTTTATTATTTCCCCCACTATTCTTCCACCTATTTCCGTCCTACAGTGCTATAAATATCTGTTAGTAGCATGCTTAGCTTAGCATAAAAACTGAAAAAAGATACTCGATGCTTTACTGCATGAATGTAATAGTTAAAGTGATGGACCAAATATACCAGTGTGGCTGTAGATTCCTGGTCTTGGTTGATTCTATGGTCTGTTTTTGGTGTTGGCTTTCTGACTTGAGTAATCAAATCCAAGGACCCATGAGACATGTCTCTGCGGGACTGCAAAAATCTATTAGTCCATCAGGTACAATTGGATTAATTAACCTGAGAGTTAGGATCAATTGCATCATCCATCTCCTGCTTAGGGAGACTCCTGAAGGCCACTAACCATAGGGCACAGACTTTCCCTTGGGATTGAAGCCGGAGGTGAGGGTTGACTGGGAAGTCCCCACGAGGGAAAAAAAAGAAATGTCATTATCTATGAGCTAAGCAACTGGAAATGCTTATCCGGTTTGAGAGAGGAAAGAAGCAACCCTTTGTCTTTTGTCCCCACTGTTCAAGTGTGACTTCCTTCCAGGGACTCATGGCACTGGAGCCTGAGAGTACATGGAAACTAATCCTTGTTTACATAAATTACCAGAGAGGGATCATTTTAGGGAAAATTAGATCCATTTGCAAGTCCTTAGTTTGTGAAGTTCATCGCAGAAACATGCTCTTTTTATACATTTAAATTATTATTTTGTGTTAAAATGTGCCTGTGAGCTACATACATATGGTAATTGTTGCAGATCAGCCCACACATACTGCCAGTGTGTATCCATTTGTGTTTAATTGATTTGTATCTGCTTGAAACAATAATAATATCTTGCATTAAATACCCATAGGCTTATGCAGTATCTGTTATTCTGTTTGTGACCAAATTAACAATTCATATCAATTCGTTTTTTTCAGTTTCATAATTTATATTATTATGTTAAAAAATAAACATGGTTGTCGGTTCTTTTGGGATGTATCTTGACCTCACACACCCTCACTTTGAGCCATGCTGTTGTCTCAACTCAGAGTGTTTTCTCATGCTGTCTGTATCTAATTAGTGAGCTGCTGGAGAACTTGTTCCGCCTCGCTGAAGACTCTTTCTGTAATGAACAGTGTGCAGACTGAAGACTGCATTTCAAACTAGTAACTGATGTCCTTGTAGATTGCCACCATATGTGTAAATGCAGCTTTTGTAAACACCCTGTGCCATGCTCTTAGATGGAAATGCATGAGGTGCAGCCATCTGTTTCCGAACCTCAGGGTGTGCACAATTGTTTGTGGGCCCTTTTTATTGTTGAGGCAAATAGAGCATTTATTTTGGGAAAACTTCCGGCAACAGTGTTTTGTTCTTTAAATGACTGATGTCTGCCAAGGGAATGCTATTCCCATTTCAGCTTCTGTTTGAGTAAACACTTCTTCCCTGTCATTATTCCTGGTGATAGGTATAAGCGCAGGAAGTTGTGGACATATCAGGAGCTTCATTTGTTTCCTTAGACAGTGGACTCACGCAGACATTGTGAAAGGAAAATGCAAAGTTGTTAGTTACACAAGGCGCTGAAAAACAACAACGCAATGCTTTTCTAGCAGACCAGAAAAGATGGACTTTTTGTTATTAGCACTGTAGAATAATAATTTGACACTTTCAATCAGCTGCACTCAAAACCCAAATGTAATTCATTATGAATGGTTCTAAAGATTTAATACCTAAAATCTATTGTCCCTCTTATTAACCCCTGATGTATTTCCAATGTGTGACGGTAACAGACAAACTTAATGAGTTTATTTGACCTTTGATGACCTCTTGAAGTTAAGTCAGAAGGAAATGCACTTTGTGTCATTAAGGCAGGGCAAGCTAAAGCGGTGCCGTGGTGTCTTTGACAAAGTGACTCTGCTCCTAATGGACCACTTGTGTTTGTGCTTCTCTCACTAGGTGTACCTCATCAACGTCACTTACTCGGACTCCACTTCCCATATCGTCTACAGGAGATACAGTAAATTCTTTGAGCTACAGGTATGTTGTACTGGTAAATTAAGTAAATATTTCTACTGTCACTTAATACATGAGCAGCCTGAGCCCTAAACTTGCAAAATGTTTGTTGAAAATGGCCCGGATATGTCTTCATAGACTCTGTGAGGTCAGTTTGACCTTTTACTCTATCTTTCTGTTCATCTGCTGAAAGGCAGTATGCTCAATGGAAGGTCTCATTTAAGAAGACTGGAGCCGGTTTGGAAAAAGGGAAATGGGTGTTAATCCAGTAAGCAGATGCAGGAAGAAAACACTACCTCAGTCAAATTACAGCTTTGGTCAGTGTTATGCTTCAGGACGTTTTAAGGGATCCAGTGAAATGCCTGAAATATCTTACATTGACTAATTTTACATTTTAACCACACAGTGCTTAGTAGTCTAAATGTATTGCAAGTTGAAAATACATTTTGAAACATCTTAGTAGCTTAAGCAACAATGTGAAGGGTTTAAACCTAAATCTGTGCATGCCTTAATAAATCTTCTTCTAAAGGAGCGTCTCTGGCACTTCTCTGATAACTCCCTCTGCCAGACTGCACTCTCCAGTGCTGAGGCTCTAGTAGGCTGGCTGTACTGGAGGTAGCAGAGGAAACCCTTTGTTCTCTGGTCTCTTGCTAATAGCCAGGGAAATTCTGCCCTGGTCTGTTTGATGGAAACAGGGCTTCTCTCCTGTCTAAGTAAACATTAGTCTTATCCATAGATCCCTGCTGCAGGGGTGTGTTTGTCTGGCCACGGTAATCGGTGAAGAACAACAGTCTCCAGCTGTCCATACAAAATTGGGTGGGGATAGTGTTTTATTTGTCTTTATGTGAACATAGTCATATAGGTGAAAGATGAAGTGTCTCGAGTGAAGCAGATTGGAAATGGCCTACAATCTATGATGAGTATTAGACTGCGAAGATAGCATGTTGACAGATGCTTAAAGTAATCCTGCATTATGAAAAGTATTGAATAATTCAAAACAGTTGCTTATCTTAGATTTTAAGCTAGCTGAAGAAGGAGGTTGTTGTTTGGGTAATGCAACGACCAATCCCAGATAGCATTGGAATAAATGAAGAGTTAGCTGTGGTCAGGAAAGGGTTGGGGGTTGGGGGAATGAACAGTTTGGTGCTTTGTTAATGGAAAAATGTGGCTTTCCTTTTAACATTTTAGATGACTATTTAACCTGCTGAATGTCCCCTTTATAATTTAAATTATATTGAGTGTAGTGTTGTTTCTTAGGGACTGACTACTGTATTAGAATATTTGTCTTTTCTTCAGTCCAAAATTGAGATTTTGATTGTATGTCTGCCAAATGACACCTACAGTCCTCCCCCAGCTCTGCACAGTTCTGTCTTTTTAGAACAATTGCCTGTTATATGTTCACCAGAAGCTGACAGAAAAAAAAGTATTTGACACCCTTGGCCTGACAAATGTGACCATGATCTCATCGGATAACCATTAAATCAGAATTCAGAAAAGCTAGGAAAGGTCACAGAACAAGAAATGCCTTTTTAAGGCTGAGGCTGATTATTCATATTATGTCCAACGTCAGCCAACACTGTTCAGCTGCTCATAAAAAAGCTACTCATCAACAACAGGCAGCTTTGCTCTTTGTCTTTTTAATATGAGGAATCCATTTTCGTTACCAAATGGATGTCCAAGATTGCACTCACTGCTAATGAATCAAACCTCCTCAGTGTACTCAACATAACTCATAACTGCTCCTCAGGGAAGCAATTATCATAAATAATCAGGATCCCCTCATTACCAGATTCCTTCTCTCTTTGTCTTTTCTGCTGACCTAAAGTGAATCTAAGGAGAAAAAAAGCATTTGCCATGCATTTGCAGAGTTAAGCATGATAGTATTCACTTTTAAAGACGTGTGTTTTCATGCTGCATACTGCTGAGCCTGAGTTCCATAAATGCTGTTTCTGGTGTCAAAGGGAAATGTTTTTTAACCACATTTGTTTGACGTGTACAGAATCGGTCAGTTTGTCGAGCAGAGTTGACCCCCTCCACACCCTTCTACCACAGCAGACAGAGCACACGGGTCACGGCATTCCTCAGGGGGATTGTGGAGTGTGCATGCTGGCCTGGTTTCCTTTTGGACACAAACTTCTACAAAAATCCCATAGTCGTCATTATTTTTGGATGGGAGAATCGGACCTGGTTCAGCTCTACTCTGTCTGCGTTATAGTTTATCTTGCCTGCTTTCATGGGACTATGATAAGGTTATTTTTCTTGTCAAACCTGAATTACATTTGTATTGATTTGAGGGAAGAAACACTCATGGATGAGAAGAATGTCAATTTAAGGATATTTATTATTTAGAAGACAAATGTAACCTTCCGTTCTACAATGAAATGCTGTCTGAGTCATGTTGGAGTAACACACAAAAAAAGAAAGTATCCAAAGATTCCCCAGAGTTGTTGTCTTTTTTTGTTCAGTTGTCAAAACCTGAGGCCTACATTACCCACAATGCAATGCAACAGATGACAGTCCAGTCTCAGATTTTGGTGTGTTATGCTAGTAGCTGCTATAGCCTTAAGCATAGATGAGGAGCAGGCTACACAGGACTGGTTACTATACTTACTTTTCAAATTTGTAGTCTGCATACCCAATCATGCTGACTAGAAGACATATTTTCTTTTTCAAAAAACTTTACAATGTTGCTGCAGTACCAAAAGCAGCATTTGATGTTAATGATAACAATGAAGCTTTTGCAACAACATGCATGATAAATCGGGGACATTTTATGACCAAGAGGCCTGTTTCATCACAATCTCTCTACAGTAAACAACAGTCAAGTAGATGTCAAAACACAACCCAGAGATGGAATCAGATTATTGGTTTCCCACTCAAACATTTCTCCAAACTCCCTCTGACTGAGATTCCTCTCAGAAGAGTTCATTTGTCTGCTGCACAGCGGAGTGTCTCTTTGTCTTTTCCTCCCTTTCCACTCCAGTCAGTGCAATTAAGTTAAATGCTTCTATGATTATCATTACAGCGTACAGAAGCTGTTTGGGTTCTCCCGTCACCATAATTCACATCCATCACGTCACATGCTGAAATGATGCCAGTGTAGAGAGGATTGAATGTTTTCTGCACATTCTTTTCTCCCAATTATCCACAACGCTGATTTTCAAGTGTTACTGGGAAGCTGCATTACATCGTAACACCTGTTGCTCCGTGGTTCATTTTCCCAGTGGGAACACTTGGCTGACACTGCAGCTTAATATGCTTAAGTATCCTTTGCAGAGTTTACAAAAGCAACATAGAGTAAATACAGCATCTCAGAGCCAAGTCCCTGAAATGTGAGAAATGTTTTCCCTCAGAGTTTTGATCCAAGTTGTCCAGCTGTTGCCATAGTAACAAATGTCACACCTGTCCCGTAGAGCTGCAAGTGTATCCAGGCAGGTCCCCGGGGGCTGAGGTAATCATCGCCTCTCTGTCGGGAGAGGTGGTCTCTGAAGGTGCTGAGTGAAGGACGCTCCCATCTTAGAGGGAGTGTATGGCTACATCCAGCTAGGAGGCTGATAACATGATGAGTGTGTCAGACACACGGTACAGCTGCCAGTGCACTCTTACATAAACGGGGATTTCTAAGAAACCACATCTGTTAGTAGGCCTGTTATAATTAGGGCCTGAGCTCGACTAGAGTCGGAGCAAAGACCTATTGTAATCCTTGTGTAAGACCAGTTAAGGAAATTATACAAAAGCATAAAAATGCAAGTTCACCCTCAAAGAGGAAATAACTTCTCACTCTTGGAAATATCCAGACATCGGAATTGGAATGTTTTTAAAATATATTTAATAAATAAAATAAAAACTACCCATTCAAAACACTAGAATTGACTATTGGGCTCTGTTAACACAATGGTGCACTTCCTGTGTCTTATAATGCTAAACCTTTCTTTTTTATTTTGTTAGCTAAAGTGTTGGTGAAATGAATCAGGAAACAAAACACGTATGTAAACTCAACAGGCAATATCAAAGGTCATGTCCATGTCAGACCTGTATAATAGTAGTGGTAAATGGTTTCCTAAACAAACATTCTGGTTTGTATTTATATTTGTTGAGGTTGAGGAGCATAAAACACTAGGTGTGGATAACCAGAGCCGTTCTATGTACTCAGCCCTTTTACTTTTCCCTAAAAACAGAATACAATGGCTGTGCTCTTCAAAAGATTTCTTGTTGGCTTTCTATATTTTGAAGAAGAGGGGAAATGCCATGCCCTGAGAGAAGTTAAAGGATTTAGCCAAGGCAGCATATTACTGTAAGAAAGAAATGAACCACCACAAGAAGAGAAACCAAACCACTCTTACACAGGCAATCCCACTTTACCCTCCAAGCTCGATTCTGTTTGTCCACCTGGTTCTTTTTGGCCTGGTTTAGACCAAGACTCCCGGCTCCTCCTCCAAGTTGAGTGTGCTTTAGCTTGATGCTCACAGACTTTGCGGTTTAACAGAGCCCATCTGGAACAAGGCAAAGCAGAACGAGCAAAGGCGGGGCAGCATCTGGATTTTTGAGCTTTCTGTTACTGTAGGATGCTTTCATATGTGCTCATGGTACTGTGATTTATTCAAGGAAGAAACCAGAAACTGTTGTCCTTGACACAAACGCATACACACGCATATTAGACAAATCCATATTTTTTCAGCACTCAACAAAACAACCTCGTGCATTATTCACTACACAGCACATGTTCTTTTTCCACATGGGACAGATACACACGTGTATACGTTAATCCAAGTAGACACATGCTGAGACATCAAACTACTACAAATGAAGGACCTAACAGTATTCTTTCTATAAAGAGTATTATGTCTGTATCACCCTTTATCTCTTCATAGATAAATGGTCCGATGTATCAAGTGTTAACATCAAAGTGTTAATTATCTCCTCAGATGGCGTTTAAAGCTCCTTAAGCGGAACTTGCTTTTGATTTTGCTTTTCAAGTGTGGGTGATGTAACCTTGTCTGCTGCCCCAGAGATCAAAGTGTTTTGTGCTTTCACGACACAGTAGCTTTTCAGAAGATATTTAATTACACCCACGTTGAACTGTGTCATAACAAAAAGGCCGTCTGTTCCTCTTTTCAAATGCAACCCCCATTTTTTGTTCCTATACCCCTCACAAATTCCTCCACTTTCAACTAACTGATTAACGTGTGGTAGATAAAACACAGTTCATGTGGCTAAGCCATCAAATAGTTACTTGATTATAATAGTACATTGGCATCCATCTGCTTTCGTGGCAGTCAAAGAGTCATGTTTTTGATTTCTTGCTGCAGAACTCATGTTTTTGTCATTCTTTACTCCCTCTCCTTTTTGCAGATGCGAATCCTCGACAAGTTCCCAATCGATGGAGGACAGAAAGACCCCAAAAAGAGGATTATTCCTTTTTTGCCAGGTGATAAACACAATCAATTTAAGATGTATTAAAGACTGCAGAATTCAAGCAAAAGAAAGGCTGTCAGTCATATTTATGCACAATCGCTGTTTGTCAGCAAGCCTACATACTCTACTCCATGGATTGGCCCACGACATTGCATTGTTTATTAACTGCCATACAGGATCCAAGCTAAATCAATTTGTGGTGTGCCATGGCAGTAGGAGGCTAGCAGAGAGGGATTTTTATAATCTGATGAACTCATTGTGGGCCAGAGCAGAGGAGAGCAGTGAAGAGATCCTTTGTTAGACAAGCTGTACTGCTCAAGTCTGACCACTGCTGTTTGGGTCTTTCTGTAATTCTTCATGGAGTGAACTGCATACCCTCCACACAGCACACAGCCTGCACACTTTTACTGTTTAGTATGTTTCATAAATATAAACACTGATAACAGCTCATAGGAGTTATAAAGTGAGGATTAGTAATCTTTTACAAATGGTCTAATTTATTTATGGGTTAAAATGCCCTTTGGAGCTCAATTGATTTTAGAGTCAAAGCTGATTTCAAAATAAAATATTTAATCATGTATGCTATTCTTTTTCTTTAGTTAGTCATTTAAAAATGAAGGTAAACCCACTTCCTTCCTCCTTTTTTTAAATGCAACAAATAGCAAACCTGTTATTTTATTGCGCTTGATAATCTAACATTTTAATGTTAGATCATCTTGTATCATTTTGTTTCCCGTTGTATATGTACAACTGAACTGACAGTGCTCTGTTTTTCCTCAGGTAAAGTCTTATTTCGCCGAAGTCACATAAGAGATGTAGCCGTCAAAAGACTAAAGCACCTGGATAATTACTGCAAAGTAAGACAATGGCTGCATGTCTCATAAAGTCCTCTTGAAGTTAATTGTATCACTCTGTCTGCTGTTAACATGATACATCTTGTAGGAAAACAAATGACTGATGATGACTACCCATGTCTGGTTTTGTCGGAACAGCCCTTTATCTATGACAATGCTCTACTCCCTGAACATTTGCCAGCACATTTTGAAGGCAGACCTCAACATTTATCTCCCCCACCAGCCTCAACAGGAAAGCAACAGCACTATCTGTGCTGGTCATTTCCTGTCACCAATGTAAATAGGCAGCCTATGAAGGAAACAAGGGAAATGGGGGGCACACAGGGGTAAAAGAGAACCCAAAAAATAAAAATGATTCAGCAGGCTACAAGTCTAGTGTGAGTGCAGATGGCGTGCTGATTCGTTTATATGAACTAGGTCAGAGAAGGGAATGTGGGTCAGGTGCAGTGCCAAGTGTGGCAACAGTTTTCCTTTATAGGAACCAAGCAGGATTTGCTGCAGGCAAGAAGCCTAGTATCTTTTTTAATATTGTTTCTTTAAAGCTGTCTTTAGTGGGCTGAAGTATCTAATGTTCAACGCCCATGCAGCTGAGACAGGCGTTTGTTAAACTATATCACCTCTGTGGGTTTTCCTTTGTTTTAACCCTCACTCCGTGCTCAGCCTTCTTCCTTCCCCTCCACACCCTCCACATCTCCACCCAGTCTGTTTAGCTGACTAACTGTACAATCCCAAAGTGTTTAAGTGTCATTCAAACCAAACTCGAGCACTTTTAAACATCACCTGAAACTTTTTTTTAATATATGTTTTTGTCACAAACACATGCTTTCTCCCTCCTTTTCCCGCCCACAGGCTCTTATGAAGCTTCCCACCCACATTACCCAGAGTGAGGAGGTCCTAAAGTTCTTTGAGACAAATACAGAGGACCTCAACCCTCCCAAAGAGTGAGTAACTACCACTGCTGACTTTATAAATCATAGGCTATCATTCAGTATTAGCGTCATCTCTTTTAAACTAGCCATCGCCCTCTGGCATGTTACGCTCCAGCAGCAAAACTGTGTGTGGTTCAGCAGCTGGGACAGGTTTCACCCGCAGTGACCCATCTTGATCCAGAGGCTTTGCTGTGTGTCTCAGACATGATTGATTGGTGCTGGTTGAGAGGCACTGCGTTTTTTTATTAATAATGATTTATAGGAGTTAACACGCGATCCCCAAAACAAATGCGTAAGGATCAGAGGTGTCATACGAGTGCAGCTGAGTTCAAGTCTCAGAGCAGATAAGGCTTCAGGGCTAGTCATTTGTCAAAAGCACTTCTAAATCAGAGTGGGAGTAATTACAGACTGGCTGCTAGATTCATTTTTGTATATATTCTATTCTTCCCTTTTGTCTATGTTAAAATTAAGTAAAAATTGTTTCTTCATAAATGTGTTTGTTTGTACTTCTCCCAACACACTCAATGAGAAAAATGTGTTGGAGTTGCCTCTTGAGTGGTCTCTCCACCACCACCAGACACACAACCTCTCACCCCCGCTGCCCAGTCATGTTAATCCCACTTCAAAGTGAGATCCTCCTCCAGTCTTGCAGGTTCTCAATTTAAATTGAGACGTTGAGGTCTAAAGGCCATGCCACCCAAGTGCTCAGTTCACTTCTGCTGGATCTGGACCATTTCAAAATGCCTCTCCTGGTGTTTTTTCTTTTTTTCTTTAGTTTGTTATATCATACAATTGGTTGAAAAAGGATAAATAAATAAAGCACATTAAGAGCTATATCGTCACATCTAAATATTTTGAGAAATAATTTGAAAACAGAATAAAAATTAAGAGCATTTCGGCTTGGGTAATAATTATAATGTATTTGTTCTTCTGTCATCTTGACTGAAACATAATAAGTATAGATTGTTTACCATTCAGCCTTTATTTACTCTAACTTGATTATTTAGGGTTGCATTAAGAATGGTAATACTATTCTCCAACAATAAAAGCTTGATTTTCCAAAAAGGGAAACAATTTGATGTATAAATTAGGACAATTAGGGAGTAAATGTATACACAGTTATGTAATAAGACCTAAATTGGTGTAGAAAACTTGATAGATAAATTAAAATGTTAAAAAAATTCAAGAAGAGGTCAGTAGGCGGACAATAACACGTCTTATATTTCAAACAGATGTAAGTTCTTTAACAATAAGTAGGTGCTTCTAACCCAGCTCGCTAAGCATGATGAAATTCTGAGAGGTAATAAGGTAATATTTCAGTACCCTTTCTCTCTTGGACCAGACCACACAACCCTATCATAAAAAATACAATGATGTGTACTACATCACCGGTAATAAATCTCTAGGCAGACTGATAGACTGATTCCAGATGTTTTAAGAGTTGTAGAAGATGAGTTCCCATAAATCAAATCACATAAAACTGCGTGAACAATCCTATTCCTACAAATCATAGGAAAGATTATAAATAAATTATTTCTGTGGAAATTAGTTGCCAACATTTTCCCTGGGCCAGCACCCAAGATTATTTTTGTGGAATTTGAATGGGAGTTCAATCAATAAATCCAATTTGTCTCTATTACAGTTGCAGTGATTAATAATGAGACCTGTCATACTGGTGACATTTTCTCTACCAAAAAAAGAAGCTCGGGTTGAATTATTTAAAATATTTTTTGCCAGTAGTTACTAACTTTTAGCATCAGGAAGGAGGCAATGTTGTTTGACAAGTCTTCATCTGTTACTGCCATCTAACGGTCAACAGTCGTCACTGCACAGAGTTCCGAAAATAAAGAAATCATGTTGATCCGTCACAAGAGGGAGCCATGCAACAGGCCTTAGAACTGTAAGATGGTTTCTTCACTTCTGGAGAGTGTGTGTGTGTGTGTGTGTGTGTGTGTGTGTGTGTGTGTGTGTGTGTGTGTGTGTGTGTGTGTGTGTGTGTGTGTGTGTGTGTGTGTGTGTGTGTGTGTGTGTGAAACGTTTTGATAATAGAAATCATGTTTTTAATTGTCTTACAAGTAATTTTACATCCTGGAGTCCTGATTGGCACCTCAATGTAATGTTACTGAGATCATATGCAGATTGTATTTAATTATTGAGTTACATTTTTTTTTTTTTTTCATCAATCATTGTTTCAACTCTGCAAAGTTACCCTGACAATTATGCAGATTTGAAACTTGGCAATGAGATAAGATTATTTAAATTAAAAGTTAGTTTTAAGTTATTTTGCTGGAATAATGTGAACGGTAAACGCCAGCCCATGCTTTTTCTAAATGTATTTTGCTGCCGTTTCTGCACCTCGACTTTGCTTTTTTGTACTTTTGATTAGAATTATGAAAGTCACACTATTTTAATCCCCATGGGGAAACGTTTCCTTGGCAGTTGGTCCAACCTAACCTTTAAGAAACAGTGAGCAGCCACAACACAGTGCCTGGAACCCATTGGCATTTCTGAGTCCATCAACTTGGTCAATAGCAGGCCCACTGATGAATAACTCCGCTAACAATTGCATATCTTTATAATCCTTATCCATCACTGCATCTTAATGATGTGCCAATCAAAACAACCTACCCTTTCAGTTTGCAAATCAGACCTCTGCGCATAATCATAATGATTTCCTGCTCAATGAAGTTGACCTATTGACCTCTAAACTGTAGGTCACTCCTGCAGAGGTTAATCTGAGGTCAGGCAGGAGTGTCTGTGTATTGTAAACATGAATTAGGCGGACCCTTCAGTTCTCTGACTTGGCTGAGAAACGTGAGCAAAGGACTAACGTCTCACACATTCCATTTCTAATAAGCCCACCTACAAAGAGTGAGCTGCAGTTATGTGCAAACAGATGGTTATTCTCAACTCAAGCTTAGGATGGACTCTCCCGGGGCTTGGATATTAAATGACGTGTTCAGCCCATGCATCTCCGGGCATGGGTGTTTATAAAACTGTAAAGACTATCTCCCAACTTCTGTGACTCTCCATTGGCTTGCTAACTAAAGGTTAAAATGTACACCTAAAACATTGGCGCACAGTCTTAAGCATTTAATATGTTTGGACATATTTTGGCTCCCCTTACCTTCTCCTCATTTATTAGATTTTACTGGTGATAGGAGGGAAGCATTTAGAGCCAGCGTTTTGTGCTCGGTCTTCTCCTGGGAAGAGTATTATTCCAGCTCTGAGCTGGAAGGGTCGCAAGCTAGCAGGGCAGGTCAAGCATCCACTTTATCCCCATCATTTCTCCCCAACCCTCTATGGTATAGTGCTTCCCCCAGTTTCATCCCCACCCTACCAGATATTGGCTAAATAAACACTTCACGAAATACTTTAGAGATGTATAACATGTATTATAATTCATTTGTCTCACGTGTTGTCTCGATGCCTGAAACCGAATCAATAAACATACTGATGTAATGTATCCAAGTGTTTATGCTACATTACCTAAATAATTACCACCACTGACCCTGTGCTCCTTTCTGTCCTGAAAATAATCTGTGAGCTGAATGACATGCGTGCTGTTTTGATTTAAAACACATTTGGTTTCTTCTAAGTGACAATGTGCATCATCTGCTCTGACTGTGCTTAATATTTTTAATAAACTATAAAGTAATTTGGCTCGGCAAGAATGTTTACCACTCTTTTGTTTTCGGCTTATCTTTTCATGTAGAAAGTTTATTTCAAATGAATTTCCGCACTATGAACATAGCTTGAAGATAGAATATAAACATTGTTTTTTGCAGTGTCACAATACAATTTAGTTTGTTGTTCTTTTACAAAATTGAGTAAGTAATGAAGCTGAACTGAGCAGGGAGCTATTGCATACTGTAAGTGGTTGGAAGTATCTCATAACTTGTATTTGTTCACGCATCTGGAAAAAGGGAAGCGTTGTGCCAACAAATGACTTTATCTTAAATAACACACGAATAAAGTTATTGGTAAAAATGTTTTGAGGAGGCAGTAAGAGTTGCTTAGCTTAAAGGGGAATCATTTGATGATGACACTGAATAACAGTTTTAATGTCATTTTTATTATTGTCCATTAAGTATAAAACAGCTTTCTTTCTAGTACAGTATGACATACTTAGAACATTGCTATTACAAATTCTACTTTTCTTGTTAACTGAAATCAATGAAACCTGCAGAGTAGATGGACAAACTGTAACCTGGTGAATGTTGGACAAGGTTTATCCAAACATGCACTCATATCCATAACTGGCCATGGCTCCAGTCCTGCTGCTGGCCTCTACAGAGAGCCAGGTGTCTGTTCCCATCTGTGTCAAAACCTCGGCTTCTCCTCAGTGTGCTCATGAGGACAGTCAGCCAACAAGCTACAAACCACACATATAAATAAAGGCCCAGCTTTAGAAAACACTGCTCTGTTTTGAAATGTTTATGCATGTCAATTCTATAACAAATTCTCATCAAACAGGATTAAGTAATTATGTGCAGTGTCATCGCTTATGTACCTGCATTACAGTACATGAGGCATGAGCATTCAAATTGAACTGACAGCACTTTAATTAATGTCTTTTAATGTATTCATACTGTGTTCATCGTGCCATTGTTAGTTTGTTTTTCCTTCTAAATGACTAACTACGGCTGAATAGATCCAACAACAGTGACAGGTTTAAGCGTATGCAAATGATGTGTTCCACTCTAAATAGAAATCAAGCAGACAAAAAGGAGCAGACAGACGCGTACAGTTAATATCCATGTAGTCAATGTCAAAATGGGGTTATGTGACCCGGATGAGTGTGAAAGCACAGAGTGGGTTCATTGACACTATTTCTCATCATTCAGTGTTTTGTGCTTGGCAACAGAAGGACGCTTTCAAATGAAAACATGAATGGGACTTACTTAGGGGATATGATAGTGTTGTAAAGTAAATAATTGCTGTATTGTTAAACATAGGCAGCTGCACACCATGTCTGCCATAGAGACATTATCTCATGGCGGTATTTGGCTAGAAGATCTATAGATTTGTTCTCGTACACACTTACTGTAATCCTCCACACACGCCTTACTGTACGTTGTATCCCACCCTGTCTCTCTCCCTATGGTAGTGGCGGGTCAAGTTCTGCATGCATTCTCAACAAGGGTTTGGCTGGGACTTGTGTGCCAACTGCACTCAGATGGTCCCAGGCAGACAGAGATTCAGCTCTAACCAGTTCCTACATTGATCAGGTTGTATTAATGCTCACACACACTGATACTGACCATGCTCCTCTGGTGTTGTCTTCTTTTCAGGGACTGTGGAGGATCCGGCAAACGGAAATCAGGTGAGGATGTGAAATCTTTTTTTAACTTGGTCAGTAGAATCTGTGTTTAAGTTATTATATGAGCCATCCATTTGTATTTTGTCCCTACTGTGTTTAATGGCTACTTGAATGATATTGAAGTTTGAACATTTAAAACATCTGGATGACATCTGTCTGTTGTTGTTCTCCAGGCTAGCACGTCAATGCTATACTGCTAGCATAACACACCCAAATCTCGGATTGAACTGTTGTGAATTACATTGCATTGTGGGTAATTTAGGCAACAGATTATGACAAGGTATAAGACTGTTTGAAATAAAGCTGCAACAATTAGTTGATTGATCCGCAACTACATTATTTTGATAAGATATTTTGTAGTACAACATTTAAATATTCTCTGGTTCCAGCTTTAGAAATGAGAGAATGTGATGATTATCTTTATCACGTAAGAAACTACATTTCAAATATTTTGGTTTTGGACACTTTGAATACATTCCGATGGGCTCTAGGGAATTGTGAATGTCATTTTTCACAACAAACAAAAATGAATTGAGAAAATAATTTTGAGGGTTAATCAATGATGAAAACAAGTAATAGTTGCAACCCTACATAAAAGACTTGTACTGGATTTTAAGAGGGCAATGAACAATTAAGCTTTATAGATTACATGGTTCCCAAATTCATCCTAATCCAACACGATTTTGGTTAACATTAGATCATTGTATTGTAATGAAATGGTTAAGAAAACCGTGTTTACGTGGGAGAAACCGACCAGTTTGCTCTTCCAGGGTTGACTATAGGCTTTATGTTTGTATGTGAGAGAGTGTAAGAAAGACAGAAAGAATGAGTGACTCAACTGAGCATGGGGATACAAGCGTAGGAGGAAGCAGGAAAGGCATGAGAGGAGTTTAGGGAACAGCTGTGCAAGTGTGTTTGTATGCGCGTGCACTTGCATGCAGTCTCAGAATACCCACACGCATTACTAAATTACATGCTAGCCCTGCAATCAGATGCGAAGCTGCTGTGGCCATCCTTTCTTCAATCTGTCACAGTTACAAATGACATAGCTGGGCAGCAGAAGTCTCAGTAAATGACCTGCAAGTAAATTTTCTGTGGTCCATGCATGCTGAGGAAAAGCTGTGATGGAGTTGCCACCAAATGAAATAAGACCCCAACCTAATTTCATTATATGTTCCATCGTATTGAGGCTTTACGTAACAGGGAATTCCAGCTACATAGCGAAATGGAAAAATTGTCTTATTTCAGCTGTGTGTGTGTGTGTGTGCTGAGTAACCTACATTCAGTCTGTGCAAGATATTAGATTGGTTTCCAGCTATATTTATGTCGGCTGCCTCGCGTTTGCATGCACACTTTCAGCTGTTTCATGGTGTGGCTTAATATGAAACACATTATCTGCTGTACTGTATGTATATTTATGCTTACAATTAAATAATTGGATCCACCTGGGAAAACAATGATAACACACTTTACGTCTTGTGCTTAAGATGATTTAATATTCACAGTTTAAATGCAGAACATACTGTACAAGCCCTCCATACTTTATACCTAAACCCTTACCATAGTCTCCGTGCTGGACATTAGCGGTGAACGCAGCTGAAAGATTGATCTTTGTCTTTTGAAGGAGGACAGCAGATAAAGTGCAGTGAGTCTGTGGTGAATTTGTGCTGTAGCTGCAGCTTATGGTTTACATAATTACATGGTGCAGGTTTCCCATAAGAGCTACTGAGCCCCTGAACAGGAGAATGTAGCCCTTCACCACAAAACTGCAATGGTTAGAAGTTTGACTAGAAGCTATGTTTACCTGGCAAGCAGAACAAATGTGATGTTGATATTGACAATATCATTATGTTCATCTCCATCATGGTTGTTTTTCTGTTTGTTCCGGCTCTTCAGCTTCGCCCCTGGGATGAATACAGTTTTATCTTATCTCATTGTATTTAGTCATTTCTCTTTTTTATAGGACGGAAACTAGCTGATAGAGACCATTTGGCGAAAAAAGTAATTTGGAAGGGAATTGTGTTATGAACGTAGGGATTTCATCTCTCATATGTTTTCAGCAAGATCCTGGCCCCATATCTAATTTATTGTCGTCCAACTGGGACTTCACACAGTATCAGGTTGAAGTCTGCATTATTGATCTTCTATGTCTAACAATGTTGTTGGATTGAGTGCAGATACTAGGCTAGGCTCGAGTAAATCCCTGTCAGATAACTCGGACTGATCAAAAAGACACCCTTCCATATTCAAACCCTAAAGGAAATGAATTGTCTTTAATTGACAAGATACCATGGTGATGAAATAAGTATTCTATCCATACAAGAAAGAAAAGAGCAACTGTTAAAGAAAACAATCTGATTCCAATTTACTCAGATTTTGGGATCAACTGCTGCTTACTTTTTCGGATGTTGAGGGTTCTGCAAAGCCAGTTCATCTTTAAATCATCAATGATAATCTGTATATTTAACTAAGAAAGTAAGATGAGCAGGAGACGGTTTGAAAATGAGTTGGAGAGAGAAAGAAACGGAGCACTCAGCTGTGTAGTGCATGTGAATAGCAGCTGGAGAGGAGAGGAGGTTTACGTGGCAAGTGGAAACCATTTCAGTGTTGCGCACGGACTGAGGGAGTGTGTTTATATGTGCAGACTCGCTGTCTTTATTTGAGCTGCGGGTCTCCGGGGGCCTGTACAGTGTGTATGTGTGCATTGGTTTGTGTCTATGTGGGTGTTCGCGTACTGTAATTGGTGTATGTGCATGCTTGTTGGGTTAATGTGTTCACGACTTAGATGGCGGGGTGGGTCAAGAGGTCTGTGTTTATTTGTATTTTCAGATGGCTAAGATTTTAAACCGGTATAGGAAATCATTAAAGCAAATGACCACTTTCATATCTGTCTAACAACCGTGCACTGTGCCTCTTTTTCAATGAACAGCCCCCACTCTTCTATGCACAATGAGTCTCACAGTAGCCGAAAGATTAACTTTGTGCGTTGAACTAGGTTTTAATCAAGTGTTGCATTTGACTTTTTTTCGCCCCCAAGTTATGGATATTGATGTTCATTTTAAGGATCAGTGTAAAGATGCAGCCCCCTACCTCCCCCAAGTTATAACTCTGGCATGGTCAAAGCTCCTCCCCCACCTCCAGCTGAAAGCAGATCCAATAGAGGCCTCTCTGTTTCTGATAAGTGACCATTTGTCACGGTGGACTCCCGCCCTCGAGGCAGAACTTACTGTAAGCTTAATGCTCAAAACAACACGTTTGAGACAGAAAAGGTTCAGTAATGAATGAGATCAGACATGTGTGTTTATTTTATTTGTAATTCTATGTAAGTCCAGTTATAGGCATAGGTTGTTATTTGATGGCTCTGCTTTTGCTTCACATACAGTAGTCGAATGTAAAAGGCGTCAGATTTTCTACTGGAAAACATGATGAAGTGGAAGGTTGGTTTGAGGGATTTGGATTTTATTAGCATTTCCTTTTGATGCTAGACTTTCTTGGAAACCATCTATATCTGCAACATCCAGTGTAATGGTAACTAATAAAGTTAAAGGTTCCCATGTGGAGTTTCTTGCCTCACGTAGCGTTATGGAGGGATGTTTTTACAAGTGGGTGCCTGTTTTATTATCACCGCCAACTGTAACCTGTATATACGTATGTGTATGAAGGCACAGTGTTTACAGTTGTTTGCAAAAGAGCGCTCACGTATAAACATGGACAAAAACAATGTCGGTTTTAGATTTTTCCAAAGCTTTGCTGTCTGATGTACCTTTGTGAAACCTTCTATGGTATTTACACTTTTCACTAGAGTGCAAGTAAAGATGATTAAGATATTAGACAGTTCCGAACAGCCTTGTTAGAGCTGTCTTATGATTTTGCTGAACGTTTCTGTACTAATTGTTTGTGGTCTGCCCTTTCTCCCTCAGGGCCACATACTGATTCAATGACATGAGTACATCTGTACTACATTGAACCCCAGTCCTGTGTCCTTTTCTAATCCAACTGCACATCTGCTGCTGATGAGACAAACAAAGGGATTGCACTTTGCCAATTTGATCATAAAGCTACCCTAAGGTTCAAAATATGGCCAATGCCAACTATGCTATCAAGCAAAATACTTGATCCTGAAAAATCTCTCACGAAAAAGAATGTCTTAGACTAGACTGCCTGGTTTCCTCCTCTTGGTGATGAATTATTGTAACGTTTCGTACTGTCATCAACTTTGGATGGAGTTGATGATGGCTTAGTGGGGGTGGATAGAGTTAGGACATCTGGGAGTGCAAGGGTGGGAGCAGGAAGCACATGTATAAATCCGAGTGAGGAGAGATATAAACACAGCGAGTGGCTAATAGGGCAATCTGGTGGAAGCCAAGAAGAAAATACTTTACTTTTCATAGCTCGTAAATACCTTGGATCTACGTTGTGCATACATAAAACGTTAGATATATAAACAGACATGCAAACTTAAACACTCGATGATGGTTCCCAACCTTTTTTGTCAGCAAGTTCCTACCTCCACGGCTCTATCAGTTAATTAGCCTTTCATCAACACCACCCATCATCTAAAAAGCTATATATCTCATAGTATTTGGATACTACAAGTTGGTATTGCTAAGTTTGCTTTTGTACAACTACCACTATAAGCGTATTATTTCAACCATTGCTTTAGGCTAACAACTTCTTCCATGCATCCATTAATTAAGCTAAATATCTGAAATCACTGTTCTCTAACTTTGAATACTATGTGAAATCACCCTTATCAGGAAGTGAATTATTAAAGTACTGTAACTTTACTGGGCTAAAGCACTTCATTGAGACTTTGATTTATACACAGTAATTTATTAAGCTACTTTACACTATTCATTTCACAGCTCTTTTTACACACTTCATTTGAAATTAGACCTATCCTGTCCAATACTCTTTCACCCCATTTTTCTCACACATGTTCTCCCGGTTCTGGCTCTGTCTTCCTGCTGTTGCAAAACATTTCATTTCCTGAATGAGAGTGAAATATTAGCTTTTGTTTTTCAGGCCTATTGACTTTGCTGACAAAGTCTTTACTCACTCACCTCAGGTCTCAGATTTAGTGTTCACTCATCGCAGTAGTTAATTATTGGTTGTAGAAACATCTATTCTCATAATTTTACATAGATTATAGTTTTATGAGGTCATGACCTGCAGAGTTTTATATCCAACTGATTTACTACACGTTTTTTTTGTTGTTCTTTTATTTTATTTGACAAGAAAATGTCCAGGATAGCAGATTTATTTATGATTGGGTTCCCAAGAGGTCAATATTTCATTTCAAAGTCAGATTTAGTAATAAGCAAGCAAAGGCAAGGAAAGGTTAACATGTTTGCCGTTTGAGTAGAAGGCAATTTACTGATTATGAAAAAGTGTAATGGAATGAGTAGCTAATTTAAATAGCACTCAAAGTCAAGGCACTGCAAACCAATACATCTGTAAATCAGGACCAAAGATAATGCCTGGAGGCTTGATGTAGACATGTTCAAATTCCCATAATATTGCATAATTATGTCTGAAAATGCCCTTTTTAAATGTATTTAATTAAAAAACAACCTTTACTGGAAGTAAATTGACTGACTTATATAAAATCACTAAGTACTGAAAGACATTTTAGGTTTTCACTTTTCTGAATAGTAAACATCGTTACAGCCAAATATGTTTGATACAGTCCTCTCATGTCAATGTTGAGCCATAATTATTATTGATCAGTTCTAATTGATCTGTGATTTGAAACAAACCACTCAACCACACATTACCGATAATAATGTCAATGTCAAAACAAATATCACTGATTGCTGTAACTGAAGTTATTGCTGTCATATTTGACTTTGAAGAAAAATAAGGCAATAACCAACATTTAAATGATGTTTTCTTTCCAGTGTTTCTGCACCCAACGTTGTGGTCTGGCAAAACATCTTGCACAAATAACTTGAGGCTTCTCAAACCACAGCCCAACCACAGTAATCCAGTGTCAAACTCTTTGGCAGTTTTAGCATTTGAGATGCTAAAGCTGTTGAATTCTTCTTCATAAGTTATGAGCTCCTTGACATGTTCATTTTGATCCCAAATTGATTGCAAAATATCATCCCAAGAGAGAAAAGTTAATCTTCAGTCTGAAGCTCTTTGGAGAAATTATGTTTCAAACCAAGGTGTCATTTCTTATCTAAGACTTCAACCTTCAATGTGTTGGACTGAATCATCTTATTCCCAGCCTCATTTTTACACAAGTTCCTCTTTCCAGAAACTGTCTTGACCAACTTTTCCAAAACAGCGGCTTTTCTCTTCTCCTTGTGACATTTTCTTGCTGGAAATATTTGTTGATCATGTGAGTCAGGAGCCAACATATTTAACTTTACACCACAGTGATGGCACTCCAGTAAAAGCAGCCTGTGACCATAAATAGAGATTGTGATTTGTAGATCCTGTTATTCAAACACACCATAAAAGTACATTGTGCATCCAATGTAGCAGCCTTATTAGTGTAAACCGATATAATCTAAAGTGTGCATACAGTAGCTTTCTGTCTGCAGCTTTGAACTCAGTGGACGGCTGAAGCTCTTGTTAATGTGTGAACTGAATGTCAGCTGTGCTTATGTCTGGATTCCAGCTGACGCTTGTTAGATGTGCTTTAGGGTCTTCAGCTATGCTTGTTTTAGGGATTCTTCAAGATTATGGCTTCAGCTAGGCTCAGAGGATGCAGCCCTACTTGTGTGGGGCAAAACACGTCGTAGATGTTTGTAATGTATAGGACAATATATGCTTTTATTAACTATTCACACATGAAATATCCGTAACAAAACCCTCCTGTAGTTAGAGTAACCAAACTTTATTGAAGTAGTGGACATGACTAAGTTATGAAAGCCTGCACAAACTGTGAAACTAAGTCACTGCTGGTGTTTATATGGTTAACTCAGTGAGGTACAGAAAGAGAGGTTTCCATTGGCTGTGCTGCACGCTGTAGTCAGAGCTCTAGTGTTTCATGGAGACAGAAGGCCATCCCTCTGAGCTCAGCTCCAGCCCCTTCATCTGGTTCTATTTAAGGCCTCTAGTGCCGACTCTTATGATTGGCGTACACAACCCCCTACTCTCTCTCCTGCTCCAACCCCAACTGAGGAGAAGGAGGCTTTTTAGCAGATGGTTTATTTTCCAAGGGAAACCATTTCTTTCTCCCACTCTACTGTCCTGTCCTTAGCTGGCTTAAGCCCACTTTTCTATCACTTCTAGAGCCCCTTCTGCTTTCTAACTGCTGTTCCTCTTTCCACTGTGTTAATGTAAACCTGCATCTACTGACCCGGTCTTGTCCCACATCAGGAGGAGGCCCCTTCAGTGACACATAATGGATTATCTTCACTTGACTGCTTGATCCTGCACTCTACTGCAAGAGATTCCTTTTTTAGACTTTTAGCATCTCCATTGCCCTTGTTGTTGGGCTGGAGGGGGATGCAGCTCTATGGCTAGACTCCCAGGAAGATGCACTGAGCCCTGTGATTATTGTGATTGGCTGAGCTCTACAGACAGTGTGGCCTATGGCACAACGAGTGCCCAGGAGCGGTTCTCGTGGACCTATGGCTGGCAGCTGGCTGACGGCATGTTTTTTCCCATCAACCCCAGGTCTGGATGCTTCGGACCCCATGATCCTGGAACAGTACGTGGTGGTGGCCAGTTACGAGAAACAAGAGCCTTCAGAAATCGGCCTTCAAGCGGGCGAGGTGGTCGATGTTATTGAGAAGAGCGAGAGTGGTGAGTAATCAAAACAAAAGCACAACACAGACATGTTGAGCAGGAAAAGGCAACATGCATGTCAGACATAAACAAAGTCTTTCCATAGTTCTTCAAACATGCTGACTGTTTGCATTTTCCAAGCTCAACCCTTTTACCTCCTTTGTCTACAGCTAGCTGTTATTTAGCCCCATCTTGAGGCTCACTTTGGCCTACAGTCAGCCCTGTGTTTCCCACTGTTGGTTTAGGCCCAGGGCCAGAATGTTGCCTCTCGCAAGAGGAATGTCTTCCAGAGTCATATTAATTATTCCACCTTACTATGCCGGATTTACAAATACCAGCTGCAGAGAGTCCTTAGTCAGCTTTTTAACCTCTGGGAAAACCTAGCAAACAGAGCCAGGATCATGTTTTAGGATATATGTGACAATATTTCATGTTTGATGAGTCAAAACAACTTAATCATTGATTAAGCAATAATGTATATGATTCAACAAAAATAACGGTTGGATTATCTATATTTCAAATGCAATGATATGAAATCTGGTGAGATAGTTTCACACTATATGATACAATGATACCGGAAAATCTATATTGAATCAATTCACGTGTCTTGGGTAACTATACAAATAGTTGTAAAACCACCAGGTCTAAGCACCTGCCCGAATCCGTTTTTATTTTGAAGGGAATTTGCTATACGAAGCCCAGGAATGACCGGAAAGGTATAGGCCCAGGAACAGGGTCTGAGCTTTAATGGTGTGCTGAGACAGTTAAACTGTAATGGGACTCATGTGTTCTTCAGTGGGAGGATGGGGATTGAGGAAATAGTGACCAGAAAGGCAATTGGACTTGGGTTTCATGATGGGTGTGAGTGAAACGCCATGCCACACTGGCCTTAAGGAAGAGGGTCTGTGAAGTAGGATTGCTTTGAAGTGTCACGTGTCCCGCCTTCGGGTTCATGTATTTGTTTTCACTCCCTGCTCCAGTAGGATTTCAACCCAATGGGGAGCCACAGTGAGGCGGATATTCCAACACCTTGAAGTCCTTTTATCGGGGGGCCTTATGTGAGAGCTTTCCTCCATGAAGTCAAACTGCATGGTCCTGCGCTTTTAAGTAGAGGCCCCTTTCTCTTTGCATTTCAGTTGGTCTATGTGCAAAGTTATGGTGGTTGATGTGTGTGTTGATGATGCATGCAGAATGTGAAACTCATGCACTTCAATGGTCTCATTGCAGATTTATGATTTTCCAGGCTTTCGTGTTATTACCGTAGCTTAGTTTCAATGTTATTATTGCTTTGTTTCATCCTATTCTCTGATAGAAAGGTTATATTTGGTTGCATCTCTCACTCAGCTCATTCATTCATCTCTGGCTCAGTTGGAATTGTCAGGAGTTTCTAGAAAGCAAAACAGAAGAGTCCAAGCTCCTTAAAACACATCCTAAGGCTATTTGACAGTTTTATTATACACTGACGGACACTTTCACAGTGATCTGAGCTAAATACCCCCCCCACCCAGTCCTACATCTTGCTTTGGAGACTGTTTCCAGCAGCACAGCTAGCATTTAATGGAAATCTCAACACCTCCTGCAATGGAAGTCGACTAAATCTGCTCCATTTGGCTGGGGGACATCCCTCCATCTCCCTTTGCCAATACAAACAAGACCAGGTGTGTGCTAAGAAGATTTCAGAGCCCATTTGATTTAGCATTCATTCCCTTGCAGGATAAGTACAAAACCCTTTAATAGTTTCTGACAGATTGGTCTGCGAGTTACAGAGTGAATATGTTGCGTTAGACGTGTTAAAAGGTTTCTTTTACATTTGTAATGATAAAAGGATTGAATGGATTTTTATTGAGCTTCCAGCTATTCACATATTTTCCTTTTTAAAGCTTAAAGTACATTCAAAGCAGCATGGTTTCCCCCTGCAGAGTTTTTGAATGCAGTGAGTGGAAAATATCTGTATGCTGTCATGTTGCCATCGAAGTCTGGCTGTTTTTTTGCAGAAAAGGTGAGTATATGAGAGTGTAACACTGACAGATCTACAGTAAAAAGGAAAAACTAAAGCTCTGTATTATTTTTGCCCTAGTCCCTCAACAGAAGCCCTGCTGTTAAAGCTATACTGTACCATAGATGTTGGCTGTGACTGCAGCCCAGGGCAGTTATCGACTTTTCCTTACCTTGGATTAGATAACGTATGCCTTCAACAGGGCAGTGAATGTAGGTCAGACCTATAAGAGGGCTCAGCTTTCTCCACTTTTCCAGCCTGCTGTTCAGAGCCAAGGCAGTATTTTCCATTGCAGTGGCTCAACGATACAGTTTGTGTCTTGGCCTTTGTTTCAGATAGTACCGTTTTTGTATTGATTTTGTTAGTGTTTGGTATGGTGCAGTCGGCTATAAATCAACAGGGTATACCTATGATTGCTTGATGTTTAGTTGTAGCATTCAGGTTTTTTGGAATGATACTCTAAAAACAAAGAATAATAGGAGCTACTTTCTGCAAAAATAATGATATAAATAAATGCATGGATTAATATAAAGTAGCCAAATATAAAGGCATAACAATATAGTGTTGTCGAACCAATACATTTTTTTTATTCTGCCATTATTCCCTATTCAGCTATTTTATTTGTCTATTTTATGAGAGTTTGCCAGGGGGAAATGCTGGCTCAGGAGGAGAGAGTAGTACAGGGAGAAACTCTGGAAGAAAATGGAAAAAGCCATTTCCTGCCAAAGTTAGTGGTTCAGAAAGGTTGGTTCATTATAATGGCTTAATGGATCCTCCAGGATGCCTCCTCAGTTTACACTGTATTGGAGAGATGTTAACCAACGCTAAGCTAGCAGCCTTGTTGGTCAGTTCGAATGCTCAGATGTATTCAGCGGTTTAAACTTTGCCCGTTAATGGAGTAGCATGTAGGAAAGGAAAGATAATTTGCAGTCACTTCTGGAAATATTGCACTTATTGCAGCTGGTTTGCCTGTACCTCAAGGGCAGTGTTAGCCACACTGCGCCCAGTCAGGGTTAAACTTGTCTCCTTTCCAAGTCTGCATCAGCCTCTATGAATTACAATCTGCCAAATCAACTCCAGGAATGCCAGTCTGTTTTTGGGAGGCCGGCTCACATCCGTCAGTCCCTCCAGTTCCCCAAAGACCCTCTGGCACCACCCATGTACAGTATGTATTGACTGCTCCACCCAGCTTAATTAAGCAGGGAGGAGTAGGTAGAATTTCAAGAAGAGCCTGAAGAGTCACAGTAAACTTATCTATATAAAAATAGGCCTTTTCGTCCTCACAAACACAAAGGATTTCAAGTTTGATGAATGTGAGTCATGGAGAAGTTTGAAGGGAACAGCGGTATCCTGCAGGAGATGTTTGACTTCCTGGCTGAAGTCCCTTAGAGATTACTTGGGTCAAATCCTGGCAGATTAAGCAGGTCTGTCCCTCAGCGTGGCATGATGGATGTGCAGGACGTCTTCTTTAACTTCACATGGAAAAAAAGTACCCACCAGTACAGTAATGTCTGCGCTCTCCGTCTTCAGGCTGGATGCAAGATGATCTCAGGGCTTACAGCTCAGCTGGAGCTCGATGTTCAGAGAGGCAGGCTCTTTTTGACTTTACTCCAAGAGCACAGACTTACACTTACTCTTTGAAGGCACTATGTGTGTCATGGCAAAAGTTCCAAATCCAGATCACTACTACTGAGTTCATGGAATTGATTTTTTGGGCAATCAGATTATTTAACTTATTTAAATTGTTTTTAGCCGCGCTAGTGCAAAGTACTGCTGTGTCTAAATACAGCCCTACAGAGCTGCTTGTATACTGTAGATTCTTGTTTACATTACATTATTACATTGCATTTAGCTGACGCTATTATCCAAAGCGACTTACAATAAGTGCATTCGACCAGGAAGATACAACCTTGAAGAAAACAGAATCATAATTACATCAGGTTTCATAGAGCCAAAACATTTCAAGTGCTACTCAACTGGATATAGATAAGCCAGTCCTTTATTAGTATATAAGTGCTTTGTTAGCTGTTTGTAATTATATCGCTCAAAGTGGAGTCGAAAGAGATTAGTTTTTAGTCGGCGCCGGAAGATGTGCAAGCTATCTGCTGTCCTGATTTCAATGAGGAGCTCATTCGACAATTTTGGAGCCAGGATAGCAAACCCACGTGTTTTTGTTGATGGGAACTTGGGTCCCCCTCGCAGCGAGGGTGCAGCGAGTCGTTTGGCTGATGCAGAGCGAAGTGCACAAGCTGGGGTGTACAGTTTAACCATGTCCTGGATGTAGGAAGGGCCAGATCCATTCGCAG